AAGTCGAGGCTCGATTGACCGCTTTGAAGAGCAGTCAATGGCAATGTTGTGACTGGCTAAGATGTGATCCTCCAGCGCATTTCAACGAACTGGCGAAGGGCGGAAACGCAGTGTCGCACAACTCTGTCGAAGAGGTATTGAAGACGTTGACCGACGACGGACTGGAGCCGAATGCGCTTGAGGTTGGTGAGATATATGTGGATGTCAACGAGCACGCGGTCTCTGAGCGTCATCTTGCGGTGTTCTGTTGACAGTTGCAGCAGTGCACGCGTCGGAGAGTCTCGTTCCGCTGTGGTCAAGAGGCTGGACATTGTTCTCGATGACTTGCACGCATGCGAAGTTTGAGAGAAGATGCGATCGCCCTCCCCTCGGGCGCTCGTGGGCGGCAGAGATGTCCCAGCAATGCCCCTGTTGTCGATGGCCTGTGTGAGGTCCAATCCGTTATTTGCCCGCTGTTATGCTCGGCCGAAGAATGGCTTCCCATCCTCTGCAGTCATCATGAGAGGTCTCATTTCGACACTCGCCAAGGTGGTCCTTGGCACTTGTGTCTTTATGGTCTAAAGGTTAGAGAGAGGCATCTCTAAGAGCGACCAAAAGGGCTTGATTGTACCAGCGGTGGACGATAAATTAGTTCACGCGGCTTTGCGCTTTTCGAGCGCTCTGCATCCTCCACCAACTCGCGCTGCCGAGAACCACAAGGCCTGCATGTAAATACTCCGCAATCATCGTGTTCGTGACCAGAGTTGCAATGCGACCGTGAAGAGGCTAGACATGGTCTTCGATGGCGTGGACGCAGCTCAATATTCGGGGATGATCGATCTTTGGACCCTTTTCATATGATTGCCAAGCTGTTCTTTCTATAAGAACACCGCGTGCCTCTCTTTCCGAACGAACAATAACAAACATGGGGCGCCAGGTGACGTGTCTCAGCGAGAGAAAGAGATTGCACGGGCGGAGGAGACGGCGCAGGCGAACGCAAAGCGCAAGCAGACGCAACGCTGCTATATCGACCTCACCGGGCCCGAAGGCAAAGACCTCGAGTACAAACTCATCACTGGCGACCAAGCCCGCGAGCTCCAAGACGGGGAGAGTAAGTTCCACTTGCTAAGGGCGAGGCCATTGAGGCATTGTAGATGACCGTAATCTTTCATCCCTACGTGGTTGGCTTTCGTCACCGGGGAAAAAGCAAGCGATGTATGACCTGGCGCAGGAAGGGGGTCTCATTACTTGCCAAATGGGGGCAGGGGATTCGCAGAAATTGGAGCTTCGTGTGAACGCTGCTGCTGCTCATGCGCTGGTAGAACTGGGCATCAAGCAGCCGAGCTAAAAGGGAAGATGGTTGCATGGAGTGAGAATCGTTTTTATTACAGCATTCCCCAGCGGACCACGGCTTTCAAGAATTGCAGGATGCCGCTAGATGCTGGGGAAAGAGTTCAAACCCCATGGGATAATCCGCGTCCTCCTCGCGGAACTCCTGAATGAATCAGAGAGGCAAGCTCATCGCTGGCCTTTCTCATTCCACACCTCATCATACTGACAATCCCCAGGGGTTGTTATTCATCCCCAACCACTGCTCAAACTCATGGAAATCCTGATGCAGAAACGGATCCTGCAGGGAGGACGCATTCATATCCAGCTCCATCAACCAGGGCATCGTATTGTTGGCGTCCATATTGAACTGTCCGGTGGGCTGCAGTTGTTGCTGGAAAGCCGCTTGCTGGATCGGATCCTTGAAGTCACCTTGCTGGGCAATGTCCGGTTGTAAGGGGTAGCTCATCGCCTGCTGTTGCACTTCGGGCTGCACATTTGGAGTGCCTTGGTGGAGCTTCTGACGACCGATACGTATCTTGCCGAGAAGTGGAATTCGAAGCGTCAAGGTCTGAGGCCCTGCTGCCTCGCCATTTGGGTCTTTCACGAGCGCCAGCAAAGAACGGACTGCAGGAGCTGCTTCTCGGACAAAATCCCCTCCCATTTGCTCACCGGCAAAGTCCATCGTGTCCACGATCTGTTCGATGAACCCTATACGAGTCTGGTCGGCTGTTTCATTGTTCTGCCGTTGTCGTATGCACGAAAGACAAAGATAGGCCGCGGCGGTGAAGATCTGCATATCGATGATTCGACATACAAAGAAACCGCGGGGTAAAAGTCGACGTAGGCACCAATATCGCCGGGCCATGCTCTCGCAGGCTTCAGTGCACGCCTGTCGGCTGTATGCGAATTGATCGTGGTCGTCATTACTCATGGCCAGGTGCAAGTGGATTCGGGTCGTCAGGTAGTAGTGCCAGAATTGGACGAGTTGGCCGGCGTGAAGCTCTGATGGGGTTTCAGCCCACCAATTCTGGTCTGCGTCAGCGTGTGTTGAATTGACCATGATCACTTGACCAGACTTACTCTGGGCGTTTCCGCCTTCAAAGCGCGTAAACGGCCCTCGATGGCCAGTACCCTCTCATAGATCTTCTCCTTGGGGTGTGACAGTGTCACTTGCTCGTCAAGTTCTTGGATTTCCATGGCGAGGCCAGCAAGCTCGAATATGTATGGAGATACTACGACTTCGCCCTCGGGGGAGATGATCGGTCGCCGTGGGAATTTATGAGTGGCAGTAGCAGCTGGGAGGTTGAACATCATGCTTGCCATGCGGTCTGTAGCGCAGATTGCTTCCCATAGGCTGACCCGCTGACTTCGCTTTCGATCTGAGCTTGAAGAGGTGGTTCCTGGGGTTGGAGCGGAAATTTGAGAGTCGTTCTTGGTGTACCAGGCTCGTGGCAGGCCGATGAGTTCAGCTATTGCAATGGTGCGACGTAATGTAAGCCACAGAGGTTTGATGTTGCCCATGCCGAGTTGTCTGGGTTGTTCGTCAGTCTGTGTACAGTAACAAGACATTCGCCGCCTTTCTTTCCGGTGAGTGAGTATGGGAGGCTACTTACAGACGAAGGTACATCACGGTAGTCTCTATGCCATCTATCGTGCTAGCGATACCCGTATGGGCAATGATGGTCGCTTCCACGGCATGCGAGACTTCTCTTGCATAGACGGAAGCGTTTTCCCAACCACTCAACGACAGCTCCTGCGCGTGAGGTGGTGGTATTTGCCGGACCGTGATGGCGAATGTCAACAAGTAGAATGCAATATGGACAGGGTGGGCATCAGGTGTAAGCATGGGCTCGTAGTCAGTCGTAAGATTGTTCCTTGTCCCGACGGCGGCTTCAGTTGGAAACAATGTTGTGTAGAGCTTCATCCACGGATCAGCGTAGCTTGCAGCGACTGTTACATCTTTTCTGTGTTTGTTCAGCATGTGAAAGCCTTGTCTAACGCACACTCTACCCCTTATGGCACAGGGTTCTACGTACCTTGGAGGCATCAGACGTTGCAGTCTGGTACGAGCTTGCTCCAGGTAGCGAGGCGAACATCGAGCTTTGCTTAGGTCGTCACCAGGGTTCTCATCATACTGTTCAGGTCCTATCAAAGCATTGTCGAAGAGGAATTTGAGATGCGTCGGAGGAGTCGCAGTTGGGCCTTCGCTCGGCTCGTCAACCACCTCTGAGTCGTCCAAAGGCGTATCAGGCCCGTCATCATCGTCGTGGTATTCATCGTCCACCGGCGAGGTCAAGCTCGATTTCCTCTCAGTGGCCGAAGAAGTCAAGTTCGCAATCTGCGCCTCAAGGCGAGAGATACGGTCTCGCGAAGTCAAGCGATCCGAGTTGACGGAACGTCGTTGACTAAGTCATGTAAGCTTTAAGATCTTGACATCCATGCACAATGCATAACCCGGTACATACTACACCTGTGGCACACATTCTCGGCCTCGAGCCTTGCAGCCCGCGCAGACCTTGTCCGTGGGCGCCTGCCATACACAGCGTATCTTCCGCCCGCGACCTGCATGGATTGATTGATTGATCAGAACAAGAGTCGACTTTAGGCGGTTGTCACGAGATTGGCTTACACTCGAGGCAGCTCTTGGTCCCCTTACGAATCCGCTTGAGGTGAGCCTCCTGCGTCGGAGATTGCGTTGACGTGGACACCGCTGTGGAGGCCATGTCGCTTCTGCAGATTCCTGCTGTCGATGTCTTTATGTTCGTCCGAAGTTTGCTGCGAGAAACGACGTCTCACTTGGGAGTTGCCCAGATTGAGCTGTTTCTCGGAACCGAGGTCGTCATGAGTGAAGAATCCTTCATGTCCTACCGAGCGAATATCATTGACAACAACAAGTGTGAGGCAGCCTTGTGGCGGGTGCCTTTTCAGATTCGTCCAAGAATGCGCACCTATCTTGACGTAACGTAGTGCGATCGGGCTTGTGAAGACCCAGCGCCAGAGGACTGGGAAGGCGTCACACGCAACGGTGTTTCCAGACCCCGTGTGGATGCCAACGGCTGCCGGAGGAAGCAGTCTCAAGGATAACATGCCCCTCGCACTTATCTGGTCTAGACAAATCCTGAACGGAAAAGCTGGTCGCTCATGATTGGCTGCGTAGGCTCAAAGGCTGAACTACGAGACAACGCTCGTCCGCAGCTTCGACCGCGTTCCGTCACCATCAAGCCACCGGGCCTTCAAGCCTTTGACAACCGACGAATTGCGAATTCTGATGGATTATGCGAAAAGATACATGGCGTCTTCACTGCCTCAATCGGACAAACCAGCTGCCGACCGGACAGACATGTGGTCCACTGTAAAAGAGATTGTGACTACGTATAATTCAAGCATGCTCTTCCTTCCAGGGGTATTAGGAGTTCATTGCACATTGCATTCCAACGGCTTAGGTCTTCACCACAGACCGTGTACTACAAGGCAGATACTTGAAAGACCGTGACAGTTGTACAGCACGGCAGCCTGGTTGACTTCGACTTGACGACTTCTTCTCGACTCTTATCGACTTTTGAACCATGTCGGGCCAACAGACTCCTCCAGGGGTAAGTGCAACATACATCATTCCTCTGGCACAAAAGTGTATGCTAAATCCTCATAGCCACCATACCCTCCTACTACAGCTGGCCTGGGAGGTCAAGCAACAGTCAGCACAGATGTCCCAGTCTGCTCAGTGCTCCTCCTCTTCTACATCGGCTCCGCCGTCGGCAACATGTTCATCTTCCAAGCCAACCGAAGAAAAGGACACAAATTCGTCATATCAGCGGCGCTCTTCGGCTTCAGCATGGCCAGAATCCTGACCCTCTGCCTACGGATTGGCGTGGCAACACACCCACACAACGTCTCCCTTGCGATCGCAGCCAACATCTTCGTTAACGCTGGAATCCTGGTCGTCTATGTCGTCAACCTCGTACTGGCCCTCAGGATCATCAGAGCACGGCAACCAAATCTAGGATGGAAACAAAGCGTCCGAATCCTCGCACGAGTCCTCTACGCACTCGTCTTCGTCGCCCTCGTTCTCGTCATCACCTTCGTGGTCCTCAGCTTCTACACCCTGAGCGAAAGCCTCAAACAAGCCTGCCGAGACGCCCAACTCGCCGCCCTGACCTACCTCTTCGTCTTCACAACGGTCCCCTTCTTCATCCTCGGCCTAACATACTCCCTCAAACCCGCCCAGGACGCCCAAACCTTCGGCACCGGCCAAATGCGCACCAAAGGCATCATCATCCTCATCTCCACCTGCCTCTGCGTCCTCAACTCGGGCTTCAAAACCGGCGCCAACTGGGAATCCCCCCGCCCGATCTCCGACCCGGCCTGGTACCAGAAGAAAGCGGCCTTCTACATCTTCCTCTTCGTCGTCGAGATCATCATCCTGTACTTCTTCATCGCCATGCGGATCGACAGGCGGTTCTTCGTGCCCAACGGCAGCAGCAAGAGGAAGTCGTTTGCGGTTCCCGAAGGAGAGGAGAAGCCTGAACTGCAGCGACCCGCGAATATTGGTGAGCTGGCGCAGGACTTGCGGCTTGGGACTGGACACACGGGGACGACGAACTCGGATAAGGATTCGGAGAAAGAGACTGGTGTGGTGTGAAGGGAGGACGGTGTTTCCCCACGTGTTGTAATCATGAAGTTATGTGTGACGGCCTCTTTTGTACAGTTGTATATCTATGCACAGAATGTTGTAGTAATAGACCTCGATACCCTCAAAAGTTTTATGATCACTTATAAGAAATGTCATTCCGTCTCCATCATGTTACCAAACCATATTCACTCATCCTGTTAGGCCTCCTTAGACTATGGGGATTAAGCACACAAAGTACATGGATGTCGTTCTCATGGTGTGCTCAACACCAAACGCTAGCCAACACTGCTTCACAGCAGGAAACCTTGACAGGCCTGACCTTGACGCCCGGCGTGTCATAGACAGACTTCGTGAATACAACTCTCGTCTTCCTGAGGGACAAGCCCCTCAACTCCTCCTTCATTGACATCCAGTTATGAAAATAACATGACGGTTACCCCCGGAAACCAAGTACAGTTCAGTCACCTACTCAAGACTGCACGCCCTTCTGCAGGAGAAGCAAATGTTCGTTAAGTTGTGATTTGAGCTTATATGTCAGAGTGAGACTGTCATACGAAAATATATTCAAGTATTGGCCGTTTGCACATCGCCACATTTCAATTAATGTTTTCAACTTTTTACACATTATGCATCATCAACATGAACTACATCATCCAAATCTCACATCCCCATCACATCTAATAACCCTTTCCCTTTCCCCATCCCTTTCCCCCCCAACCACCACCATTACCCCAGCCATGGCCACCATTCCACCCACCACCATAACCGCCCTGGCCCTGCCCGAAAGCATTATCAGCAATCTGCACCACAGCCGGTCCAGCAACGATGTTATCATCACTCGGCGCGCTCGAGTCCTTGGTCAGGACGAGGTACTCCTGGCCGGCCTGCACGCCGTCGGGGATGACGACGGTGTAGTCAGTTCCGCTGCCTTGGAGCTGCGCGGCGACAGGGCCGTTGGAGGTGATGAAGTAGGCGGACTTAGCGTCGACGGCCATGGCGGCTTTGAGGGTGAGGGTCTGGCCTGGCTTGACGGAGCCTGTTGGGGCGGTGACGCTGAGGGCTGGGAAGGCCTTGACGGGGAGGGGTGGGTTGGTGTCGGGGCAGGCGGTGATGAATTGCGCCGCGAGGGAGTAGACTTCGTCGAAGTCGAGGGGGATGTCGAAGCTGGTGGTGTCGATGTTAGTTTTTGGGCAAAGGTTTGGTGAGGGACGGAGGGTGTCCTTACGCGGCTGGGAACGGCGACTGCGCCGGGCTCTGGTTCTCACGCAGGTACGCGGAGTGTCGGCTCTCGACGGTCAGGATGGAGCCTGCCGCGGTGAGGTAGTCCTTGTTCATGATGTATTTGGCGGCGCCGAGGTAGGCGCTGACACCAACACCCTCGAGGACGTTGGCGATGGCGAGGAACGTGGGGACGTCCTTGAAACCGAAGTTGTACGTGCACTCGGCGACGGGCGTGGCGCCGGCAGCTGGTAAGAACATGTCAGTTTATTATCCAACGACAGCCAATGCGGGCTTGATGGGATCGCTTTACCTGTCAGAGCAGTGGTCAAGAACGACACATGCGTCGTCTCATCCGAGGAGATCTCCTTCAAGTTGTTATAGAACTGGCCAGGGAGACCAGCCTTCTTGAAGTCGTCGGCGCTGAACATGGCGATGCCCTCGCGGTAGAAGTTGTCCTCGAGGTGCTCCAGCGTCAGGGCATAGTTGAGGATGTCGGCATCAGAAGGACCGGACTGGCGCTTCTCAACTGGAGCGGCAGCAGCCACGACGGCGAAGAGAGGAACGAAGGTGGATCGCATTTTGTCTGTACTGGTATCTGATCAAACGACAGGACTGGTGGTGTGACACTGGCAGTCGGACGGTGCAGGGCCTTGATATATGTACCAGCGGCTGAGCGGAGAGGAGAAGGACAGAGTCTGTTGACATCGCCATCCTTCCTACTAGCAATGCCGTGATCCCATACTCCTCCCTGCCTTAGTACATGCATGATGCGGCGATGCTTTCGATTCCCCCAGTAGATCGACGACGGTTTGATTACCATGACCATGATTTGAATTGTTCGAACCTCCTCTTTCTGACCACCATCTAGACCACTCCGCAAGCCATTGACTCGGAATAGAGTTAAGCATACTCTTTGGCTTAGGCCTAGCTCCGAGCCTACCGTGGAATTCTCCGCTGGGAGGAACGTCTGTCCGCCGTCTGGTTGGTCCATGAGGGTGTAAGCTCTGCAACGATTGGCCCTCCCGAAAGTCTTCTCCTCAAGCTTCAGAGCTTTCCCAAGCCCATGACGAGCCAGTCCTGCCTAGTTGGGAGATTTCGAACATGGGCTCCACGAGCTTCCCCACAGATCAACGCCTCATCTGTCGGATAGCTTCCCTGCCGCGCTGCTCGGAGACAGAGGTTCCCGGTGTGATGTTCCCCTTTTGTATTTCTTGTCGCGCTGTCGTTGGTCGGAGGGCGTTTTCCCAATACTTTGGGCATTAGCTTTGGACGATTTGGGACGGGCGGCTTGGTCTTGAAGGATTCGAATGACTGCGTCGAAGCGCAGGAAGCCACGGACGCCAAATAGCTTTGCTGGATGCTTGTCGACTGCTTCCTTCATCAATAACGGTATCTTGACGGGCGTTGATCTGCAGTCAGCATCGACCAGTTCGTCGAGCTGTTTCAACGATAAACGTGGATGGGCTTGTCAAAGCTGCTGGCAGTACCTAGTCAGCGACGCAGGAACGCTGGCAAGGCATCAGCACCAACACCTGTCACCCTGTTACCAGAGACTCTGTGATTGCGTCCTGGTCGGACTTACCCCCGCTCATTCGAGTTCGCATCTTTCTCGATCGAAATGAGGCTAAGATCATGGCGGTGCCAACTGCCAAGAGGCCTGTCATCGACCAAAACCAATTCATGTCAGACCAGTTGCCACTAGTGAGTGGATGGCTCGAATGTCCAGCAGTTTGTTCTTCTGCCTCGCTTGAAGGATGAGCGGGCTCGTCTTCTTCCGGTCGGCTCTGTTCGACAGGTTCTATCACACCCACGTCATCGAAGGTGCCGGTGAAGCTGTGCCACAGTCAGCAGTCGAAGTCGTAAGATTCGAGGAGATGGACAGGGGGATCGGCTCACTTCTGCTGGAAGCTCATCTTCAAAATCTCGGGCTTGCGCGCTTGTAAGTCGAGGATGCATTGACCGAATAGTCCGTTCGCCCAGGAGAACCAGCTTCGTGACCATTGCGAGGCGTTATGACTTCGAACACTTTCGTGCATGAGGCCAAGCTGGTCGGTGCTGCTGATGAGCTGTCGCAGTTGCTGCAGAATCTCGTCCGAGTCGTTCGTGGTGAGGATGCGGATGATGGAAGCCACTAAAGATCCTGTGTCAGTACTCTGCCCAGCTCAGAGACTTGTTGTTTCTCTTACTCGGCCACGCCATCTCCTGTCCATTATGCGGTCCTCCAACGGCGCTTATGGCTGAGCCATGCATCCAGTACGGATTGTAAGTACTAAGCGCTCTCTTTCGAGTGTTCTGATAGGTCTTATCGCCTGGATCAAGATATCCAAAGAATGCAGATGATAGCAAAGATGGCGAGTTAGCATCATCCATGAGATTTACGCCACCATAGCCGTCCACCTCAAAAGCATAGACATCGCCATGCTGCTTGGTATGGACAATGCCATGTTCTTCAATGGCTGCTCGGACACCGGCCGCCATCTCCTTCATCCTGTCGGCTAGTGGCGCTTGGTCTAGGAGCTTGTACATGATGTCGGCGTTGAGACGTAGGAAATGCGAGAATTGCATGTTGGCAGGTATAAAAAGCTGAAAAAGAACTGGATCGTCCGATGGCCGGAAGAAAGAGCGAATGAGCCCAGTATTTGCGGCCACTGGATTGCCATAGCCGTGATTGATAATTCTCGAGAACATGTAGGAAGCGTCCCACTGCGTGCCGTTGGGGTGGTATGTCGACTGATTGGTCATGTTCTGTGCAACTGCCATGACTGACTCGATAGCCTTCACCCAGCCGAATTTGCCAAAGAAGTCGGCATCGCCAGTCTTGTCGTAGTAAGTATGTGAGAGTTGAAGGAATGCAGCCAAAGAGTCCAGCTCGTACTTGCACTCGAAGACAAAATCCCAGCTGTACTCCGGGTGGACCTTATATCCGCCATACGCACCATTGTGCCTTCGTTCCCTGCCTGACTCTGGAGGTGCCTGGAAGGCGTTGCAGTACGGAGAGGTTCGCAAATATCGGGCCTGAAGATTGATGGCGCCTCGAAACAGCGAGGCCAAAGAGTCGTTCGAGTTCGAGGCCGTCAAGAGCGGAGCATATGATTGGAGCTGATTCGCCGAGTCCCTCAACCACATCGCGTCGATGTCTCCGGTGATGATGAAAGCGAGCTCCTCTTCGGAGTTGTTCATCGAACGTCCTCTCCAGGCGACTGTTGTGTCGAGAGTATTCGGAAAGGCATTCTCGAAGAGCTTCTTGAGATCAGGGTCCTCAATCGCTTCTCCGGTCTTCTCGATGGCGTCTTCTACGACTGAGCTGTTGAAGGTGCGGCAGGCCGGGATGGGTCTCATGGAGGAGAGATTGTGGATGCCATTTGAGAAAGGAGCGTGGAATTGCCTCGACCATTTGCCATAGTCAGGACATTTGAAGACAGCTTCTTGAGATTCAGCCGCCTCCTGATCGCTTGGACCCGTAGTTTGTGAGAGACTTGTCTTCGCAAGGCTCGCCAACAAAAGAAATCCAGTCTTCCAGTGCTTCATTATCCCGGCTGCAGAAAAGTGGCGAAGAAGATGGCCAGCTGCCGTCCGTCTGTTGGATCTTGAGGCTCCATCTTCCTTATTATCCAAAAGCAAAGCGACGGTTACCGTTCGCCAAGAATGCACGCAAGCCACGCGCAATGGACCTCCTGGGTCGTGGTCACAGGTTGGTCGTTGTGGAATGTGTGGCACGTGGGCAAAAGGCGACGATTGGGCAGGATCTAGTCGAGGTCGATCTTTCCGAAACCTTCGCGCCTTGAGGTCTACCCCTGCAAGTTTTGGCGAGACGACTCCTGTACTATTAATGCATTGGATATTCTAGATCAGGTGTTGTCTCTGGTATGAATATCTATTCTATTCTGCCGGAACACGGTCTTGATCACACCATTTGTTTCCACAGTCTGCAGACCTTCAGTTCATTATTTACAAGATTGCAGCACCGAACAACATGCTAATAAACACAACAACGCCACACATAAGTGGTGCAACGTCCGCACGAGCCATATGCATAGGGGTGGCGGCGCTGCTCGACGACGAAGACGAGCTTCCGCTGCTGCTTGAAGAGCCTGTGGACGAAGCGACTCCGTTGCCGTAAGTGGTTGAGACGGCACCAGCGTTCGCAGAAGCAGTGGAAGAGCTGCCACCTCCGGCGTTCTGGCTGCCGTCACCGCTGAGACCTGGTCCGTCTCCAGCACCGTCCTTCATGTACTTGTCGGCGTCAGATGGCATGGCCGGGAGGGCACTGCCAGTGAAGGGCTTTGTGTCCCAGTCATCGGACTGATCAGGGCACGTTTGGACTTTGCCGTCGGTGGAGTAGCCGCCACCGTTGCTTGGGTTTTGAACGCCAGCGAGAGCACTCTTGAGGTCGTCAAATTGAGAGCCGACTTGGGTGACTGAGTCGCCGTTGATGGTAACAATGCCGTAGCCACTGCCTTCATTGGAGTATTCGTAGACGAGGCCACCTGAGAAGACCTTCGTCATGTCCGTCTGATAAAGCGCTGTCGTCTCTTTGAAGGTTCGGGTATTGGTGATGCAGCCATACTCAGAAAGGAAGAGGGGAATGGAGTAGTTGGAGTACATCTCGACAAGCTGATCCCAGCCGGAGGTTGTGAAAGACGATGGGTCGCACCATCTAGAGGCGAAAGTGTTAGTGTCGTGGTCTAATGCTTGAGCGTGTTGATCACTACTTACTCATAATTGTTGATAGCGTAGAAGTCGCTGCGAGATGGCTCGTCACCACAATCCATGTACTGTCCCAGGAGGTATTGGTTCTCTGAGACGTCAGCAGCTGAGTAGCCGACCGGGATCGATCGATAGCCGCGCTCGCCAATGTATTGCTTCATGTCTCGCGTGACGGCCTTGACGTACGGAGCAGCGCTGGTACTGTTGGCGGTGTTGATGACTTCGTTACCGCTGAAGAAGCATAGCGTGTTAGTGTAGCCGGCAAAGGCATCGATCGTAGAGAAAATGCTTTGCAGATAGGTTGGGTTGTAGCTCTCCGCAGGCTCATCGCGGTTCAAAGAGTACTTTGGGGTGTTGACATCAAGTACAAGGTAGATTCCAGCTTCGGCCAGCGCGCTCATGCACTGGTCATGGTTCTTCGAGTTGTCGACGGTGTAGACACGGATCGTGTTGAGGCCGAGCTCCTTGAACTTGGCGATATCGCGAGAGCAGCTGTCGAAGTCGATCAGGGGATCGGCCGCTTTCGAGGAACCTCCAGGCTGGTAGTCGACACCGCGGATGTAGAATCGATCATCTCCAGCGAAGAAAGCGTTACCCTTGGTGGTGACAGTGGGCAACGATGTTGAGCCAGTGCCAGATGCGCTCCCACTTGCACTTGCAGTTGCAGAGCTGGTGGCACGAGCCTCGATCTTAGCCGGACCAGCGGCGGCGAGCGAAGCTGCGCCCAATGCGAGCGCCAAGGTCGATAACGACGGCATGCCTGTAACTGTCTGTGGTTCGTCTCAGTCTCGGGCTAATTCGTCGGCGTAAAAATTCGAATGAAAAGCGAAAGTAGAGGTGTAGCGAAGTACAAGCGAGTGTGAAAAGGTGCAAATAGAACGAGGGAAAGGAATTGCAACGCGATGAAGGTGAAGAGCAAGAAGCGATTGTAGGCAGACCGAGAGTCTCAGAGAAATCACAGCCTTTTGGACAAGCAATGAGGCAAGACTGGACAAGCACACCAACCGGTGGTTTCATCAAGCATTGGTGTCTGATGACGCGGCTGGGCATTGCGTGGCCTGGGGTTGCGAAAAGGCGTCTCCACAGCCAATTCGAGATACATTTGATGTAGAGGAAGATAGGACCAGAAAGCTACCGACGAATCAATGTTTGCGGAATCTGCTACTTCGGCTTCTGGAGGATACAGAATTAGGTCTGTATGTCGTGTCGAACGTTTCTTGGGAGTTGATCGCAGGATTCGGCGCGTGTTGAAAGGAGTGTCTATGGCATTGGGTGACACCACGGGTCGGTGGGCAGGGGTATGGGAGTATTTCGTGATGACATAGACACGCAGAAATCAGAAATGAGCAAGAAGACACAGAGACCAGCGTCGGATCCGGTATCAGAAGCACACAGCCACACAATTGTTCGTGAGGATAAGAAGGGCAAATTGCGAGAAGCCCCAAGTGGAGTTGTCAAAGTCGTCAGGGGCGGGTCCTTTTTGGCCGCGAATCCTTTCCGGCAGCCGACCAACGCGCCATCACGTGCAGTCGTGGCTTTGCTTTCACCAGCTTTCCCTCTCTCCCGTTCCACACAACACACCTAGACGTCGACACCCACCTCTTGAAATTTCGCTCGCACTGCACTAGACTCGGACTCGGCGTTGATGCCTGGATTGGCAAGACGGCGACGAGTGGACCTGCCATTATGATGCTGTCTGGCCTTGCCTTCGAGCCCGACGACAAATCTCAAGAAACTGGCAAGTCGACTGCAGTACGACAAGGCCCAGAAACCCTCGACGTGAGGCGTGAGACTCCAGAAGGCTTGCCGCTTCCTCGAGCTCTTAGGCGTCTGTCTCTGTGTCCTGCAGACGATGGAGTGGACGCGTAGATACTCGGCGAATACTCAGCTTGTTTACTACCTTACCTCGAGCAATACCGAATTCCAGCTGTGCCTCGTGCGAGCAGAATTAAAGAGATGCAGGTGAAAGGGATGTTGCAGCGGAAGTGGCTATAATATGTTCTCAAGGAATTGAGTTGCGAGCGGCTCTACTCGTTCCTGTTCCGAGAACACATCCGGAAACGCATTATGGCCATGATTCGCCACAAGGTCTCCATCAATCTCCAGACTCGGCCTAAAAAACGAGCCTTATGCACATGCGACTCGCCATCAGTACCGGTGCAGTGTGTTCGGCAGCTTTGCGTCTCCCCGGCGAACGGAAGCGCTCGCAGCAACCTACAGAGCGCATCATGCAGCGAATAGGAAGGGAAAAGTCTCCACCAATTCTTCCTCACGAGGCGACCTTTCCATCTGCCAAGAATAGAAATCGAAAAACACCGGTGTGAGAGACTGCGGCTTCAATGTTTCGAGAAGAGCCCGGTCTGCTGTCTCAACAAGCTTCGATTCCTGCACCACGACTCGTGATCTGAAACTCAGACTCGTCGATCAAGATATGATCTCCTCCAAAAGCGCGTCAGAATCACGAAGCCGGAAGCGATGCATGAAAAGACTTTCTCCAAGCGACCTATGCAGGAACGCTTCGAGCGATAGCATGTAAGCATGCAAGCATGATGCAGGAACGTCGAACCTTTTACAATGCCCTGACTGGACGGCTTCACACATCCCAGAATACCGGTACATTGGACAACGCCACGCTACTCCGTATGGCAATTCTTAGTTGACACACGCGGTCAGCTATTGACAAGATGAGACTGATGTGTAGGTTTCGGTATTGCTCTTTCATCTCCCTTCGGCGAAGGGGGAGTCATTCCTTTCGAGGTGGAATCGATATAAGAAGGACGAGCAGGACTCGACTGGACTTGACTCTCCTCATCGAACAGGCCAGTTCTTACAATCCATTCGCTTCCTCACAGTCGTTTCTCACGAGCAAAAATGTTCTCCCGCGCCATCGCCATCGTCTCCCTCCTCTCCTTCTCCCTCCAATCCGTCACCGCAACATGTCTCCTCGACAACAACGCGCAGAAAGTCGCTCAGAACTACGCTACGCTCTTTAGCAACTACTCGCCTCAGTTCGCCGATCAGGTCCTCACCAAAGACGTGATCGACCAGTCCGACAGCGTCAACTGGCTCATCACTAACGGCACCAACGCCTGCTCACCGCTGGTATCTGTTTCTCAAAACACCTTTTCTATCGAGTGGTCTGCTAATGTCGAACAGCTGGGCGCCACTACCTTCAACGGCCGTGAGGCTTTCAAAGCTGGCCAGTCCACCCAGCCCAACATGCCCTTCACCATCCTGAACGTCTATCACGACTGCACCAACGTTCGTCTTTTCCTCCCCCCTCCCAACCACTATCATCAAAACTCACACAATCTGAACAGGTCTTCGTCCGCTGGAACTTTGACGTCAAGCCCCAACAAGTCCAGGGAATCTCCGTGCTCGGTATGTCCTCCACCTCCTTTCACCGGACTGGCGTATTGACTCGTTCCATAGGCACGAAGCTCAACACCGACCTCACCAAGCTCCTCACGCAGCCCTACCTCATCAAGACCGTCTACGCCGAGTTCAACGTCGGCGCCTTCATCGTCAATCTGGGCTACTACCAGGGAACCAAGCCATCGACTTGCAAGAGGGACGTGTTGGGGGTCGAGGCGGTGCCATTCACCGCATAGATATGAAAAGAGGAAGAAAGAAGAGGAGAGGACTTCGGGGATTGGCGGAGCAGAAGCGAGGAGGAGAGGAAAAAGAGGAGGATTTCGTAGCATCTTCTTTTCTCCTTGGTTACGCTGTCATGATGGGGTTACGATCTGATGTCGAAAGTCGAGAGTTTAAATTCACGGGAGACGATGAGCTTATATACATTCCTTACAAATAACAGGCGTATCATCCTCCACTCTCCCCTCCCTTCCTTCCCTCTCTTCTCTCTCCCTACAAAAACAATCTACCACCTCCCCCCACAAACATCCACCCTCGCCACACTCGGATCATGATCACTCGCGGCATCATCATAGCTCACCCAAGTATTCACATGCACATGCTCAAACTGCGCCCTTCGCCGACTCGCCAGCGCCGGCGAAACAAACAAATGATCCAGCTCCTGACTATTCATATCAAACAAATACGTATACTGCTCCGTCTCCGGCGTCCCCACCACCTCGTCCAGATTCTCCAAGCCGGACACCCGCTCAAACGTCTCGATCGGCTGCACGTTCTGAAACTCGTTGTAGTCGCCCGCGCTCAGGATTGCGGCGTTGCGGTCGGCGCGCAGGATGCTGGAGATGAAGGCCCCGGTTACGTTGGCTTGTTGGTTGCGTTGGTCGACGCCGCCGTTGACGGGGGGACGGGGGTCGCCGTGCAGCGAGGAGGAGCCGCCTTTGGAGGTCCAGTGCACGTTTACGGTGAAGAAGGTGCTGGATTGGCGGTCCCAGCCCCGGCCGCGGGATTCGACGGTTTCCCAGTGGGCGGCGAGGGGTTTGCGGGAGGCGGTCCAGGCTGGGTTGGAGGGCTCGATGCCTGTGGTAGAGGGATTAGATGGGGGTTGGGGGATGTGTGGTGGTAGAGGACTTACGACCGGGGTTGTATGTTAGACGAGGACCATTGCGAGAGTTGACGACTTCAGTTGCTTGAGTGCTTGAGCCGGGATTTGGGTTTCGTAGGCGTACGACGTCTGGGTTGTAGAGGTATGCGACGCGGATGTTGCCTCCAGGTTGGCCGCCGTCTTGGTCGTCTACGGGGTCGATGTCGACGTACGAATAGTTTGTTCGAGAAGATGCGGCGTTGATGGCGTCTCGGAGTGCTGAGAGCGTCACGTTTGCGTCGACTATGGCGTCGTTCGTTGGGCCGTTGTCGTCCTGGATCTCTTGCACGAACAAGATGTCGGGCGAGCGAAGGTAGTTGGCGATGCTGGGTGATATCGATCAGAATCTCAACCTCGTTAATGCAAGGGTTCTTCCAAAACTTACTGATCTCCAATTTGTGCAAGATTCGTAGAACCAGAGTACAGGTTCTCGACGTTGTACTGACCGACCGTGATGCCATCACACTGTCCAGAAGACCTGAGCCTAGTCGCTGGTGGGAGAGCCGGTTGCCTCGATCCAGTGACCTTGATGTTGGTCTTCGGCAAGATCCTGTAAAATCCAAAGGCGTAGTACATCACACCCGTGATTTCTTCAAGTGATTCGCCCAGCTTTGTGTCTGTTGGATTGTCGGAACCATCGAGAGGGGTTCCAATAATGATAGCTTCAGGGTTGGCATCTCGATCAGTGATGGTGAGGCCACCACGATTGTTGTTGCCGGTGGTTCTCCAGGTTCCCGCGACCCAAGTATCGCCGAACTGGTTGGGCTTGGAAAGGGCTCGAGGATTGCGCACTGTGACGAGCTCGCCCATGATGCTCTCCCAGAAGTCGAGTCCATATTGAGTTGGCTGAAGCGTTGGGTTCGTGACGGAGATCCGGCTTTGGTTGTTTGGGACGGCGAAGACATCGCCGCCGTCAAGAGAACTGTACTGCTGAGTAGGAGGGTTGAGGCCTCTCTGGCCCAAGACCCGAGGAACCACTTCGTTTCCAGTGGAGAGGACCGTGATGTTGGTGGGACTGGAAAGCTCGGTGAGGAAGAGGTAAGCGGAAGATGATCTGTACTCAGTGACTCGTGCGTTCAAGACCACGATGTTTCCAACCACGGCCGTCCTGGCAGCGGAAGAGCTGAAGACGAAAATGGACTCTGAAGTTCGGGAGTCCTCATCAGGCGCGGTCGATCTCAACCAGAAGCCTTGGTTGTTCTTCGCAGTGACAAGTCCACTGACATTGGTTACAGCTTGACCCTGGTACGGAGAAAGGAACTTGTTGCCATTGATCTGAGCAATGCTCTGAGCAGAGACGGCAGCCCAGAGTGCGGCACTGGCGCCAAGTAGGCTCGTAAAGTATTTCATCTTGACAATGGAAAATGCTCGACTTCAACGGCTGCAAAACCTACGGTCTTTCTCAATATATATGTACTACTGCCTAGAACGGGTCTCCTTCCTAAAGAGTGCACGGCGTTCGCCTGGTTCACGCAAGAGATGGTCAAATCAATGCTTCTTGGCGCATGCAACGAGCTGGCCGTCCTGCATGTAGTTCTTCTTGGCTCTCGGTTGTCTGAACGCGTGATAGATTGCCGAAGTCTGACTGGAGGAGTGCTGCTCGACGCAGGGCAATTGAGAGAGCTTGTTTAGGTGATCTCGTCATGTTCAGCCTTCGACGGGATGGCAGCCGCTGTTCTGGGCTGTGTTCGTTGCCACTCGCATGCATCGTCAAGCCGCTGATGGTGATGTTGTGGAGGGAAATGATTGTGAAATTGGGAGAGAGAAGGCGGAGGTCGGATGTTGGAGACGCGCATTGACGCCAGCGGCTCCTTGTCGATAGCGCCAAGAGCTACTGCAAGGTACCATCAACATCACGGCCATCGACACATGCAAAGCACATGATCATGGCCGAGGATTGACGATAAGACTCAAGCAGACACATTCACTTCACGAGTCCTGCCAGGTAGGTGCCTAGACGCCTCCGCCGCGGGGTTATTTCCTTCGAACGCTCTCTCCATTGCTTCACTTCGCGACAACAACAAAGCTGTCCGAGTCGCTGACCCTCGACTGACCACCAACAGCCACAATGCTGTCCATACCACTTGGTCCACCGTCAGACGACAACTCAGCGTCTCTGCGCGCCAACTATCGTCCGCGCGCCGAATCACCACCACCTCTCGGCACGCTTCCAGCCATCCAGCAACCACCGCAAACCCACCGCCAACGCCAGCAACGCGACGAGGAGCGCAAGCAGCACAATGCCCGCAGCCCACTAGCTCAGCTCTCTCAGTCAGAGAACAGCATCGAGCACCACAAGTCTCAGATTCGCAACTGGGGCTCATCATGGATCAGACCTCCAGGCGTGACTAAGACGCTGCAGGCGATGAACGAGGAAGCGCAGGAGCGGGAAGAGCAGGCGGAATTGGAGAGACAGGAGGCGAACGTCCGCGACATGCAAGCACAGCAGCAGTTGCAGGATGCTCAGCAGCAAGCTCAAGACACGACGCAGCTTGATGTAGAGCAGGAGCGTGACTTGGACGGAGAGATACCTGATGCGTCTGAGGACATTACGTTCAACGAGGACAGCATGGTGGAAGGCAGCCAACTCGATGCAACGGAAGAGGATCTGATCGACGACGCCGAGCAGGAGGAGGCAGAGCTCACGGGAGCGGCGAGAGACGAGGAGGACTTGGGCATGGACGTCGACCTGGACGCGGAGGTGGAGCGTAACTTGGACGACTCCATCCCAGAAGCTGGAAGCTATCAACACACGGATACGGAGGTGGAGGATAGCGACTCGGAGTCGGAGCTGCTTCAGGACTCGCCTGCCCGTGGACGAAGCGTCTCTCAGTTCGCGAACACGCCGGTCGACATGACCAACATGCACGAACCACCACAGGTGGCCGACTTTCAGCAGAGGATGAGAGCTCAAGTCGGCGCTACGGATTCGTTGCCGAGGAGTCCTGGCAGTCTCAACCTGTCGAGCTCGATTCTCGACAGTTCGCTGGTGGGAAGCAGCCCGGTCGTGCAGCGTGGCAATGCGAGAGGACGCGGTGGACGGTCTCGGCGTGGACGATTGAGCTAGAAGGATTGTTGACGATACTCGTCCAGGTGTCGATATGCTTCTTCGCGCTGCAACGCATTCATGACCGTACGAGCTGTACTTCTAGACAGGAAACGATTGAATGCGTTCAATGACTTGACCCTCCACTTAATACATGCTTTGGTGCTGTTGTGAACTTCGATCGTACTAGTCCCAGATTCTAAAGGTCTAACATCGCCTGCAATGCCTTCAGAACCTCTTACGCCGCCTGTCCGTCTAGGATCGCGCTCCAGCTTGTACTAATATCTCCGCCACCGCATTCTGGCGCCTAGATATTGCCGCCTTCAATGCGTTGCCATACTGCCCCCCTTCAGCATTGACGTCTGCTCCAGCATTGATTAGCATTTGAACCACCTTCGTACTGCTGGTGCATGCTGCCGCCTGTAGCGCATTGCCATATAGACCTCCCCGAGCGTTGACGTTTGCCCCAGCCTGTAATAGAATCTGAATCAGATCTTCATCGCCATTCTGCGAAGCCGCTTGGAGCGCACTGCCGTATGGTCCCTCTGCATCAACGTTCGCCCCAGCGTTTAACAGCAGTTGAACCCGCTCCTTCTTGCCGCTCCAGGATGCCGCCTGGAGCGCATTACCACAGCACCCGCCCTGAGCGTTCACGTCTGCTCCGGCCTTCAACAGCATGTCCATAATCGTCGTACTTGTAATGCTTAATGATGCAGCCTGCAAAGCGTTGCCGTACACGCCCCCTTGCGCATTAGCATTCGCTCCGGCTGACAGTAGCAACTGCACGACTTCTTCTGAGCCTGTGCATGATGCCGCCTGCAAAGCATTGCCGTACCACCCTTCTTGAGCATTAGCATCCGCTCCGGCTGACAGTAGCAACTGGACAACTTCCTTGAAGCCTCTGTATGACGCCGCCTGCAACGCATTATAGTGAGATGCCGATCCACGAGCATTAGGATCTGCTCCAGCATGGATCAGTGCTTGCACGATGTTTGCATGCCCTTCAGAAGATGCCAACTGTAGCGAATAATCGTAGGCTCCTCTGCCAGCATTGACATCTACCCCAGCACACATCTCCTTTGGAGCGTTGACGACCACTCCAGCGTCCAGGAGCACCCGGACTGCCTCCTCGTGGCCTCTAAACGATGCTACTTCGAGCGCGTTGGCGACGCTCAGCCCCTCACGATTATTGACGTCTACTCCAGCATCTAAGAGCATCCGTACAACCTTCGCATGGCCTTCAGACGCTGCTTGGTGGAGCGCATTGCCAACGGGATATCCCCCGACTGCGTCGATTCCGGCATCCAAGAGTATCTGCACTACTTTCTCGCTCCCCTGGGACGCCGCTGCGCAGAGCGCATTCTCAAGGTGATCTTTCTCGATGGCCTCTATTCCAGCATTCAAGAGCACCTGCACTACCTTCTCGTGGCCCTGGGACGCCGCTCCTCGAAGGGCTTCTCCACCCTGGCTGGCAGTGAGTTTTACTCCGGCTTCTACGAGCATCTGCACCATGACACTATCACCTTGCCATGATGCGTCGTGTAACACGTGCGGGATGTCGTTGGAACTGTTTACTTCTTTCAACCACAGCTTTTGTAACTGCGCATGACCATACTTCACCGTCCACCGAAGAGAGACGCCCCTTGCAAGGTGATAAGCTGTGGGATATCTCCCCACATCCACAACTAATGGCGCGCAGACGGGGTCCTGAGGTCGATAGTCGTAAAGTGACAGGATGTCGCGCCTCACATCTCCGCCAACGGCCTCGGCGAGCTGCTCACAAATAGCATAAGCTTCTGCCAGGCTCTTGCATTGATCGAAAGCCCCGCTGTCTTTCAGCACCTCGTTCAAGAGTTTACGAATGCTGATCGTGTAGTCCGGAAACAGGCTAGAGGGTTGAGAGATGCCAAGTACAGCGTATATCCTGTCCTTCTGGTCGTGGCATTGTAAGTTGCTGCATGCTAGCACTCTGGTCAGGGTAGAAGTCGTGAAGGGCCCACGACGTCTTTGCTTGAGCATTGAACTGGCTGGCGAGTTAAGGAGCGCTCGCAAATTGGCGAAATCTAAGACTCCGTCCCTCTCTTCTGCTGTCGATAGCACCGTGAATGCCGTGTGGCCAAGATATGCTTCGAGGCATCCTATCGAGACACTCCTGTCTCCGGCGTGCAAGGTACATTGTCCAGCCAATACAAGCTCTTGCAGAACCCAGAGGCGCGACCAGTAGCTCCGTTGGCATAGTCGGAGAATGGCATTCGTCTCTGCATTCTGGGACATCCTAGGCGACGTGGTTGGCGCCGCAAATAATGCAAGGTGCTCCATTGCAAGATCGCTCTCATCGAAGGCGGATCCAAGCCACGATGTCACCTGCTGTGCGCCTTGATAGATCTCCGCCATGAGGCTCACTTGGTGCGATCGTTCTGATACGTCTGACTGGTTGATGCAAAGAGCGTCGATCCAGAAGACTCGATTTGACAGATTCTTGTGCTTCATAGCAATGTTGAGAAAAAGCCAGAGGTTCTTCCGGACATGCACGGGGTAGTCGTTCACATGGATGATGCATTGGTCTTCGATGGGGCCCCATTCGTACGAAAGCGCAGTATACGGTGGAGCGGCGTCTAAAGAGTGTGTTATCATCATGCATCGTAAATTTTTGTGGTCGCTCAACGATGGTAGAAGGGTGATCAGACGAATGTCTCTTGTGTGACGGTTGAGCGGTCTATACGGTCTGGAGGTTGTGCCCAGCTGTTGACTCTCCATCGCTCAGTACCACCTGAATGGGCTGATAGTACGGTAAATGCAAGGGAAGAGTAGCCATGGGGAGTGCGATGTTTTCATCGAGTACGATGGGGTGGCAGAGCCAAAAAAGGCTGAGGCAGTGCTCGCTGCAGGTGTCCCGCGAGGCATCACCCACCGCCAGCCTTGGAGGGCAATGGACGCAGCAGCTTTCTGAAGCGATACAGGCCAGCTTCGCTCACACGCCGTAGAGCTAGATATCAATATGGTTGAGTATTGTGTCGAGGTGAGGTGAAGGAGATGCCGGTACTGGATCCAAAGACCCTGGTGCTTCAGCTCACATCGTCCAGTTCCATGTCGAACTCAGTATTTGTGAGGCATTCATGCAGGGCCGGGGCGGCCTTCAATCCAGAAAGGAATCGATGCCTCCATCAATGTTTGCGGACGAAGGCTCTTGTTGCTCGAGAGTTGAACGAGCAAGAGTTCTCCGGGCTACCGCGTGCGTGATGTGAAATACTTTGAGCCGAGGTTGCCAAAAATAGCCCAGCTTCAACAACAACATCCCATGCTCTTGTCAAGCACAGTAAGCAAACCAGGATCTCATCATTTCGAGATCCCTCATTCGTCAGGTATTGCCATGCCATCTCGACCGCACCTGCTCGGTCTGCGGTAAGACGACTGAGAAGAATCTGCTCTTCAAGAACTGAGGCATCCACCTACGGCGGTGATACAGCAGCAACACAGACCGATATGGCAGGTCTTCGAACACTCGCACTGGTAAGTCATCTGTGCGACATTGATGCTGGTGTCACGATCTGACAAGCCCTCAGGCAGGAATTTTGCTAGCAAGTTTTCTCTATTCCAGAATCGGCCTGTTGTCGACTTTCTACTATAATCATCCCTCACGCCTTCAGAAAGTGAATAGGCCAGGGAACATAGAGGTCGGTATACGAGGTAGCGTTCTACCGTCACGATGGACTGACAATGGCCCAGATCAATTTCAGTGATGACGTTCGCAACTGCGAAGATGTACTCGTCAATGAAGAAGAGGCTTGGATGCTGTTGAGCTGCGATCCTGGGCGAGATGAGTGGAACACTGTCATGGTTGGTGTCGCCTCGATCCGTTACTCGGATCTGACGGCTAACATAGACAGGGCACGTTCGTAAACCACACAGCACCACCAGAGACAGGCCTTTACATTTGGAAGTATACCGAAGCTGGAGCAAAACCATCACAGCTAAAGTTGCTGCCCTTCGAGAATGGCCACCCTGACTTTCATCCGCTTGGTATTGGGTATCACGCCCCGACCAAGACCATCTTCGTCGCCAATCACGCTTCGCGAAATTCTCGAATCGAGCTATACAGGCTTGACGTGGCCCAAGGAGAAGCCACGCTCTTCGCTGCGGTGGAGAACCCAAGACTAGCCGCCCCGAACTCGATTGCTGCTGTCAGTGACACCGAGTTCTACGTCACAAATGACCACTTCTTCCTCGCCCGGAACATTATTGCACTCGCCAAGCTGGAGACTTATCTCGCGCTTCCAGGGGCCAATGTTGTGCATGTCAAGATACAGTCAAACGGAAGCACGGTGACCCGAAGTCTTGCCAGATTGCCGTTCGCAAATGGCATCGCTTTCTTGAACGAGACCACGCTCGCAGTCGCCAGCTCTGTGTCAGCTGCTGTGTTTCTTTACAACATTGAACAAAAGGAAGCCGGCCCTGCTTTGACCGTGGCTTCCAAGATTCCAGTGACCTTCATCCCCGACAACGTCAGTGTTGACAGCAAAGGAAAGCTGCTGATCGCAGGCCACCCGCACGCCCCGAGTCTGGAAAAGGCCTCAAAGAACAATCGGTTCTGCCAACATGCCGGTGCCGAGAACGACGAGAGATGCAAGTTCCCGAAATTGAGCTGGGTCGCGGAGTGGAGCGAAGAAGAAGGGCTGAGCGACATATACGTAGGTTCCGACTTTGGCACTTCTTCCACGGCCGTCAGAGATGCTTCTCGCGGTCTGGGTTTCATCTCTGGGCTGTACGAACGTGGAATTCTGTCGTGGAAGGAGTAGTAAACGTCAACGAGGGTCGGCAGGTTGCATGAATCGACTCACTCGTATAAGTTTAAAACAACAGACGATTCCCTCCCTCGGAAAGATAAATTCTGCAACTCAGACGAATTACGACGCTTCCTTGCCTTCCATTTGCTAACTCCTTACCTCCACGTGACCACCGGAGACTTTTCTGGAGGTGAAGTTGTCTCCTTGGGACGACTGCCGCAGACATGGCGGCATAGCCGAGAGATGCATCTTGTGCCCGCGGATGGCTATTTGACGAGGCCCGTCTTGCACTGACTGTGCTGCAGACGGATCGCAATCACTCAACATGGCTTCGAACGAGCACCAACACCAATCGGTTGATGATGGGTGAGTGAATGACATTCCTCTTGGGCCAGATCCTTTACTGATCTGTTCGATGTCAGGCCAGGTCCCATGTACAAGGAAAAATGGGTGCAAGACCTGATCCAGCAGCTCAAGGACTTCGTTGGTGCCAACCATTCCTGGCTGGGTCTGGACGTGGATAAGAAGCAGCGTGTCCTGGACTATGCCTGTGGGAATGGCACGATTTCGGAGGTAGGTCAATCCTCGAGGAATGAAGAATAAGAATGTTGACGTCTCGTCGAAGGGTCTCGCCCTCGTCTGCCCCAAAACATCCTTCCACGGCATCGACATCCTCTCTGCCCAAGTCACCCGCTACAACACTGCAGCGGCAAACCTCCTCGGCGACGATGCGAACCGCATGGTCGCCATCGAAGGCGATCTCTTCAACCCTTCAACAACTTTGGAGGGCCCAGAATGGTATGGTTTCGACATGGCCATAACAAGCATGGCCCTTCACCACTTCACCCACCCAGTCGACATGCTCCGCCTCCTCGCCCAGCGCATCAAACCCGGCGGTACAGTAGTCGTGGCGGACTGGTTGAAGGATGTACCTCTGCCGCCGCGGGAATCAGCCGGCGAAGGAGGAGAAAAGAGGAAGAGGAAGAAGCCGTATCATCCGGTCCAGAACGCTGATCCTGAAGAGATGGAAGATATTCACGGCACCAAGATTTGGATGGGGTTCACAGAGGAGAGTATCAAGGAGAGTATGGAGATTGCCGGATTGAAAGAGTGTGAGGTGAGGCTGCACCCAGAACTATCGAAGATGCCGGAGAACTTGGGTGGTGATCAGCAGATTTTTTATGCGAAGGGGGTGGTTTCTTGAAGGTATCAACGCCCAATACATGTTCTGTCGATAGTGGGACATGCATTCTCAGCTGGCATAATAAGGCGTCCAGATACTGCTGCCTCGCTACATGGTCGCTTGCACGATCGCTTGCAAGTCTCAGCTGAGAGCCGATGGCTGCATACACCCATTCCCTTTCAAGCGGGTCGATGAGAATAGAGAGCGAGATTGAAATGGTCGACGGCGACTTGGCTCGGCAGACTGCGAGGTTGTCTACTTTCGATCAAGAGCCATCGTGTTCGGGTCCGCGTGGTATGCAGTCCATTCTGCGAGGAACGCAGTTGTTCGACGACATCTGGACTGATCGTCAAAATCCTCCATCTGCGACTCTGCGGCACAGCAGTTCTCAACAACACGGACAAATTTGACGTGAGCAGAAGCCAAGCAAAAATGCCGTCAAGTGTACACACTCACACACACAATCTCGCTCGACTGATTGGCTCCACAGCACCAACCGCGCTGAAATTATCGGACATGTGCTCACCGGTCAAACCGAACCTGTGGCTGCCCTATCTCGACGCTAAGGATCCTTGCAGGCGACGTGAACGGCAGGTACTCGGCGCTAATGGACAAACTAGCCTGATAGAGAAGGGTCTAGGCTCGATGGGAGTGAAGTCGCTGCCGTTTTCAGCTGGTGGACTTGGTGACTTTTCAGCTGCACGCGCTCTTAGCAATCTTGAACCTTCACACCACGAGCCGTCTGGTACTTCGAAGGATTGACTGGTTCTATCGAAATGTATATGTAGGGTAGGATTGGACGGGTGAGGAATTTCTTCAGTTTTTTCTCGCTTTTTGTTATCGGTCAAGGAGTTTGGGTCGCACGTTGCACGTTTCCTGTCGCTATCCTCACCGCCAGATAACGAGACGCTCACTTCCGCGAGACGGCGAGACACGCACAACTTGAATTCGAACTTCGACATAGCAGTCACGATGACGGTCACGCTGGCGCGCGCCGACTCGGGCATCGTCACTACACTCAAGAGCGCATCGAAACAACAGTGCGAAGAGCCAGAACAGCCGACGATACATCCTCTGGTGCGGGATGTCAAAATGCAAGTCGACGAATACGTATCGCAGAATTGGGACTTCCAAGACGACGAATCGAGACGGGAGTTCGTTGGACAGAAGGTTAGCAGCGTGGCGTCTTATTATTTCCCTTCGGCGCTGGACGATCGGATATATCTGGTTTCGAGGTTGCTTGCTGTGCTGTTTCTTGTTGCTGGTAAGATCAAATCGGCTGGGGGAGATTAGACCGTGATCGCTAACATGTCAGCAGAGAGTCTAATACAATTCGACTTCGACGATGGCGAGGAATACATCGAAGCCCTCGAAGCCGCTGTGAAGGGACACTGGTTACCAGATGAATCGATACCGGCAGTTTGGATGCTTTGCGGGATTTTCGATGAGATTCGAGCGCAAGGTTATATGCTTGCGGACGACATTATCGAGACGGCTTTTGCACATCTGAGGTATGTCGTTGCACACAGGAGAACCTTTGGGTGCTCGAAGCTAATTTGTCGCAGGGGAGGACTCGTACGGCGTGGACGCAGTACTCAACGAAAAGGCACTGGATCGAGTCTTCGAGTAGGCGCTTCATTGCTCTCATCGCTCGAGCCTCTTGCTATGGGAACCAGCGACGACTCTATGTACTAATGATGATACCCTGTAAAGTTAATGACTCTTGGACGCCTGATCCAGACCTCTATCACGATTAGTCTTGCGTGCTCTACGTGAACGACTGACTCCTGCAAGGCCATCCATTTGCGCAATCGTCCGATATCGGACGAGATCAGAGAGCTAAGTCACAGAGCTCGCTCGACTGATTTGTATTTCCAGGTATGATCTTATCTTATCTTTCTTGAGGTCATTCACTCAAAGTTTTGGCTTGTGATATCGGGAATTACTATGGCAGAGTACAGGGAGCTGGCGGAGCCTCACCCGCGTTGGGTCAACGTACGTCAAGCACACAATGCTCAGATACCTCTACTGACAACACGATTTAGTTTCCCAACAACCTTCCGCCTGGCACGAAAGTCGACAGCATGACCAGAGACCATCTGCCCATTGCACCACAGGACGGTCTGATCATTGACGAGCTGGACGATGTCAAATCTGACTCGGAGACCATCACTCTCCGCCGGTACAGATCAACGAAAGCCGGTGGTCCGCTACCACTCCTGCTGTATATTCACGGCGGAGGCTTCGTGACTGGAGGCTTGGAGACCGATGATTATATGTGTAGAGAGATCGTACTGCATGTCCCAGTGCTTGTTCTGAGCGTCAAGTATCGACTGGCGCCTGAGCATCCATTCCCGGGTGGATTCTTGGACTGCTTGGAGGTTGTTAAATGGGTGTGTTCGTATAACTCCATAATCAACGTTGTCGGTACTAATTTGACGGCAGGTCACATCTCAGCAAGGCCAGGAAAAGACCAACGCAGACTTGTCGAAGGGCTTCGTCGTAGGGGGCACCTCAGCAGGCGGAAACTTCACAGCGGGCCTAGCCCACGCCATGCTCGAACAAAACATCACACCCCAACCCACCGGCCTTCTCTTCATGGCCTCCAGCTTCTGCCACCCCGACGTCCGCGCACCCCAATACCTCTCGCAAATCCTCAGCGTAGACGAAGTCGACAATGCCCCCGGCCTCACCGTGAAATCCATCAAATACTTCGCAGAGAAATACGGTGCTCCACCAGACGATAAACGCTACTCCCCTCTGCTGTACACTTCGCGGAAAGGGCTAGCGAAGAAGGTGTTCTTTCAGATTTGTGGATGGGATCCGAGGAGGGATGAGGCGATTCTTTATCGGGCGTTGTTGGAGGCTGAGGGAATTGAGGCGAGAGAGAAGATTTATAGGGGCTTGCCACACGGGTTTTGGACGACTTGCCCGGAACTGAAGGAGTCGAGGGATGCAATTGGGGATACGGTGGAGGGGGTGAGGTGGTTGCTTTCTTGATGAAATGCTGGCCTTGAAATGCACCTGGGTCGAACGTTGGTAGCTGTTGGTGTCGACAGACTTCAGATTCTGATGACTGATCTGGCCAGAGCGAAGCTGTCATGTCTGGAAGATTGTAGCTAGATACACTCTCACTCCATTGTAGATACTCCATGGACATTGCGAAAGCGTATTGCGAAGCGACCTTCGATGTGACCCGAGATGCTCCTTCCTTCTTCGGCTAGCCTCAGCGGCCCGAACAAGACCCCCTCTGATGAACCTTATGTGCGGAGTCTTCTCCTCGTTCCCGGTCGACTTTCTCCCCTCCATCACATAACGAACGTCTCATCAAGCTCATTATTCAATGCGCACTGCCGAGACCCACAGTCTGCGCTGTCCCGACGGATTACAAATTCATGGTCCGACTTTGTTAACGTCGAATGCGAACTCGGCACTGCGTCGCCCGACCGAGCTCTTAAACAACTGCACCATTCCGCTTCCAGATGCTCTCATGCACTCCGCATGGCATGGCGCCGGCTGGTCACCTGCTGCACCGGACCTGCATCCACTGCAAGCCTCCGAGGCTCCCCAGTGGAAAGCATTTCTCGACAGTACTATCATCTATCGCACATCGGCGGGGTTGACGACCGCCTTTTACGCGCCATCGACGATTCGAGCCACTAAAACTTACAACCGTCTTGCTTTGAATACGATGAAGAACTGCGAGCCTAACCATGCTTGGAAATAGCATATACGATGGAAGTTGTGGCTTTGTTGTGTCGTCGACGTCAACGTCGACTTTTCTTCGACTACTCCGCTGTTGGGCGTTCGAGGCAGGAGTGTCTCTGTTCCTCACACCATCTTCAGAATGATTGTCAAAGGCTTGATTCAATTCTTGTCTTTCTCGCAAGCTCTAGCAGCCGCCCGTGACTGGACATTCCCACGATCAGAGTGGGAGGAACGACACCCATCTCCCTCTGCACCTCCAGCTCAATCGCCATGCGTAAACACCGGGCCAACGGCGACTCTTGACTGTGGCGTTGTCACTGGAACTACAACATCACTTCCAGCTGCCACAGCTACCGTCAATAAATTCCTCGGCATCCCCTTCGCCCAAAGTCCTCCTCAACGATTCGGCATGCCACAGAGCCCTGGGAGTTGCAATATCAACGCTACAGCCTGGAAGCCTGCTTGCATACAGCAGTTCGTTGGTTCCGCGGAGGTCAAGGCTTTCACGGAGTACGTGTTCAATAATCCAGCACCTGAAGAGAGTGAAGACTGCTTGTATCTGAATGTCTACTCACCAAGCTCGCCTCCACCAGCGGATGGAAGGGCTGTGATGTTCTGGATATATGGCGGTGCTTTGGAATTTGGTAATGCTGGCCAGATCTATTACGATGGAAGTTGGTTTGCGGGTTACGAAGATGTCATCATTGTCACGACGAACTACCGTACAAATGTGAGTGGTATCCCTAACGAGCACCGATAAAGGTCACGGACTGAATCGTTCTTCAAGGTCTTTGGATTTGCTACTTCGCCAGAGATACCTCTCACCGAACGCAATCTCGGATTCTACGACCAACGCTTCGCTCTGGAGTGGGTTCAACGCAACATCGCAGCGTTTGGAGGCTCTCCAGAAAAAGTGACAATCTTCGGCGAAAGCGCTGGTGGTTTCTCTGTTGACGCCCTTCTCACCTCGTTCCCGGCAGACAGCAAGCCACCATTCAGAGCAGCCATCATGGAGAGCGGACAGATCAGCTACAATGCCCAAAGTCGACCGAGCACCGAGCCTCAGTGGAACACTCTTGCTAGCATTCTGGGATGTCCTGGACAGTGGAGCAGCAACTTGGCATGTCTCCGTGCGAAAAACGCCACTGAGATCAAGAAAGCGATCGAGGACAATGGTCTTACCTTCAATCCAGTTGGAGATGGTGTTTCGTTGGCACAGAATCCCTTGCAGCAGAGAGTGAGCGGCAACATTGCAAACATCCCCATATTAGGAGGAAGCAATTCACAGGAAGGCCGGTACGTACGAGAGAGGTCTGGTTGAACATGCCGGGCTAATGATGAACAGCGTCTTCACAATTGGACAGACCAACTCCACGGCATATCTGAGCACTTTGGTGGGTAATGAAACGGCTGCAATCGCCGGTCTTGAAGCCCTATACCCGCCTTACAAACCAGCCACTGGGAACGAGGCATATGAGCAAACAGCTCAGATCTTCACAGAAGCTGTCTTTCAGTGCTCAGCTGCCATGCATGCCAATGCTAGTGCTGCTATTGGCATTCCCACCTGGAGATACTATTACAACGCATCTTTCTCAAACATTCAACCATACCCTGGTCTGGGAGCTTGGCACAGCAGTGAGATCCCCATCGTGTTTAGCACATACTCACGCCAGAACGTCACCACCCAGCAGTATGCCTTGTCGGAAGCTGTAAGAGGTGTCTGGGCTAGATTTGCAAAGAATCCTCTAGGTGGACCAGGATGGAATCAGGTCGGCAAGGGCCTTTCAGGCGATGTCTTGTTTGGTGCGACTTCTGAGATTGAAGGAGGCATTGTCTTGGCTGAGAATGGTACTACCCTTGCAGGCGCCGTCAATCTGGCAGTGTTTGGCAATAGGGGAAGTACCGCTGGGTCTGGGGTCACTGTCATTGAGTCGAACGAGGTCGACTTTAGATGCGGTGTCTACACTTCGACGTATGAAAAGAACGCCAGAATTGGATGAACGGAGTCGAAGCAGCGAAGCATTAATACCAACGACAGCTCTGAACGTAACACTACATAGTACACAAGATCAACCTGCGATCCCTCCCACCGCCTCGAAAACTGCCTCAGCAGTCTTCTCATCCTTTTTGTTTCTTGACCCCTTAAAGTGTAATGCAACACCCGTCACCAAGATCTCATCCATCTCCGCATGGCTCATTCCTGGCTTCTCAAACACCAACATCCCCTCCTCGACCTTCGCCAGCAACTCGCCTCCGCTCTTCGCACTGTGCAACGTCGCATTCGCATGCCCCTTTAACTTCCAGCACCACTTCTCGCCGCCAAATGTCGTCACCGCCCCTCGACTTATTGGGTTGAAAGTGAATTTCGTGCCCATCATAGCTGAATCAGACAACTTCGATGAATGCCCATTGATAGTGACATCGATACTCGTGGAAGTCATGGAATGAAAACGTATCGTCCCCATCAACGATCCATCCGGCCTTGTGAGTGCGACCGAGGATTTTGAAGAGAGTTCTTTGGGAATGTTGAAGGCGGATTGTCGGGTGATGTTTACGATGGTCTGGTCGTTGGCGAGGTTACGGACTTCTTCCTTGGTTATTCGAAACCAGGGACGTGGGGCGGATTGCTGTTGCGGCGGCATGTTGGGTTGTCGAGGGAATTGGTAAGGCGGTGGTGCTCGAGTGTCCATATTGCCGAAGGGAACTGGTGTGTGAGGTTGATGTGGTGGAGGGTAGTAAGCTGGGTATTGAGTCTGATGGTAGTATGGCGCCGGAGGCTGGTTGCTGTTGAACATTTTGATAGATTGTTGAAGTTGTGAAGACTTGATAGTGGAACTAAATGCGACATACTGAGCTATGAGAGAGTACTTATACTTACTTGCTACACCGTCTATTCCTGTCACTCTGCCATTGCCTATGGCGATGTTCGAATCTTCGTGGTGTCGGTAAACGCTGCGCATACGAAAACGAAAATGCTTGGCTTGGTTCGTCTGCCCTATCCGGAAGGGATCGATGCCAAGGTTTTGACGTCATTGGCTGGATGAGTGAATGATTCGCTGCGGTCTTCGTTTTCAATGCTTCGACAGCATCCTTAGTCGAGGCTGATACACCTAACCGTCCAGCAGGGCTTGAAGAGTTGTTGTTGTGGCTACCATATTGAGAATAGCGCATTTTCATATGCGAATATGCGAATTCGAGCTGAAAGCTGAGCAAACAATTGCACTGCCACGAAAGGGATCCGCGTGTAGCTGAAGACCTGCCGCTTGCATAACCATAACGAGGTTCGTTTGTGACAATGGTTTCATTGCAATAGCGAGCTCGCTTGAGTTCCCAGGTGTGCAAAAGCGAAGCTGAGAACTCAACCAATGCACACACGGTTCGAGCCCGATAGAAGCTGAGCCTTGCTCCATGTATCTATTACGAACTGGCCTCTCTCCCTTGGACTAACAGCCGCAGGCCTACGTTGCGATTATCCAATCAATGCAAACCAGGCATTTATCCGTCCAGGCAAAGAACTGGAAGTCCAAGGTCATCGATCATCCGCCGGCCTTGCAACGAGACTCAACAGTCTTGCGCTAAAGGGCCATGAGAAACATCCTTGAACGAAATACCTGTATTATGGTATTGGAGAGCTAGCAGAAGATGTTGAGACTTGTTTTGTTGGACATTGAACATTCCACTTGGGCCTCCGCAGGAGCCCGAGTTGCAGATCTGATTGTGAGCAAGGTCTGGGAACCGGTATCATACCTTTTCATCAGTCCAGAATCGACTAATTACCCTTCTAGTGAGCCGTAATGGTCCTGGCTGAAAAGTGATCTTATCTGGAAAGTTTAATGAAAGAAGGATTCGATGCGAGCCTGCTTCGTCAGCCTTTACGCTCACCCCGTAATCGATGAAACAACCCTTCGATCATGCCAGACTTGGACGCAATTGATCTCACGCCCTCTCCTGTCGACCAAATGAAGACATGTCCGGTCGTCAGGTCGCTGAAACAATCTCTTGGTCTGTTCAAAGACCTCTGCCAATGCCTGAATCTGTCGCTGATGTTGGACAGTACAGTCCAGATGGGCAGGCTGAGACGGATGCCTAAGGCATCAATGCCAAGAGTCATGTGACTGAGGGGAGCTTACCTCTCCTCAGTTCTCCTGCTTCCTGTAACTAACTAACACAATCACACCTGGGTTGGTTCCTGGTATTGTTCATCAATTTGGTCACTTCCACTGTGTTCGACACCTACACAAACCCTGTAGAGCAGTCTCAGCTAAACAGCTGACAGTCTAACAGGATATGTGGTTGGGCATATTTTGTCCTCTGGTCAGCAGCAGTCTATCCACAACCAATACTCAATTTCCAAAGACGTTCCACTGAAGGTTTGACCTTTGACTTCCCGTTGCTGAATGTGCTAGGCGCGGCATGTTTTGTGAGTGTCGGAGAGATATCATCATTTGGTAAAAGAACAAAGGGCTGACCATGAGGTATAGACGCTCAGCTGTGCTTTGCTGCTTTTCTCGCCTACAATTCGATCAGAGTATGCCGTTCGCTACCCGGCGAGCCCTGAGCCGACAGTACGAGCCAACGACGTCTGTGTCGGTGCGAACGCGGTGATACTGGATAGCATTGTAGTATCGCAGTTTTGGCCATCAATCTGGAGATGGAACTCAAAAGTGTCTCCTAATAGGCAAGCTGGCAAGATCACACTGGGGGTCATATCTGGTTGTGTGCTGGCGATCATTACCTGTGTGGCGGTCGTTGTTTTCGCCCCCTCCACTGGCTGGGAGTCGATCGATGTGGTATGTTGCCCCATTATTGCCGATAGATGACCAAGATCCTGACGGATTGATTCGAGGTCTACGCCCTGGTTTACGTCAAGCTGTGGACCGTCGTATTCAAGTACACTCCACATGCTGTTTCGAATTTCCGACGAAAGTCAACTCTTGGCTGGTCGATACACTACGTCCATCTTGATGTTGGTGGAGGTATATTCAGTCTTGTCCAGCTGCTCATTGATGCCTCGCTGCAGCCAGACTGGTCGGGCCTGACGGGAAACCCCTTGAAGCTCTGGTTGGCAGGAATTAGCATTACTGCTGATGCCGTGTTCCTCATTCAGCATTACATCGTGTATGGCGCGGTTGAACCAAGAGGATTTGCAACAGATAGATATGGCCACCACGGGGAAGCTGCACCAGAGGAAGGCATCATGCTGACCAGTCTCGATGCTGCTGCTGCTGATGATGACGACGAAGGCAGTGCAATTGCGACGCCTGAATCGCAGGAGGAGGATGAAAGCAAACCCGTATGATTCGCCTAGGTACGTTTGACCCACCGCAGCAGGTCGATGTGGTACTTGCCGAATGCCGAGATAAAGTTTCTGTCGTAACTTCCTAAGCAGGAAGGCACGTTGAAGCCTCCCAACGTCAGGCGCTCGGACCCATCCAGCGACGACATCACATAATGCTTATCATGACTGAATGAAGGCCGCGAGTCTCGCAGATAGTAAGTCGTCTGCGAGAATAAATATTAGGGTGGATAATTGCACAACGCGAGTCAGCTCGGCTTCATCTGGGCAAATTCACATTCTTGAGCGGGATACATCCTGTTCCGACTATAGTTCATATCAGCATATTCTTCGCATTCTTTTACAAACTGGGGATGAGATAGGAGGTGCGAGAACAGCTGCGAATGAATGACAGGCTCGAAATCGTAGCCGTACCGGCCAAAGATAATTGAAGTGTCCCCATAGCTAGCCAATCGTCCGGCCTACTGAACACTGGTTAGAACCACGACACATGTTTGGGAATGCGGAGAGCAGGCTTGAATAATGTCACAATTTTAGCTACAATATGGGAGGCTTCTCTCGCGAGTTGGGGGGTTCTTGGGGCAAGGCTTTAAATTGCCCCCTGAGCTTCCGTAGCCGAATTCTAAAATTTTGCGAGCGTCTCTGATAACATACCAAGGGTTGACTACACTCTCAATAGTGTGAAAGAACTTCGATCTGGCAAGAGACGTCGGCGAAACCCCGGCTCGTTGCCGAAATTTTCCAGGGTTGCAAAAATAAACCTAGCGGCCACCACATGTCCTCGAGGCTACGAACATGATCGTTCCATATCACTCAATTGACACTGCCTATCTACTTACTAAGATAGAAATAGTGGACAAGCGTTGACTCAAACAGCTAAGTCAAAACAATGTCCATATCCAAAAAAATTTAATCCCTTTACAAATCCCAAAAATTTCATGGCTAACCCTTTTAACCATCAGTTTACCGAGCAGCAAGGGGCTCGAACCTGCTTTAAGTCAGAACTGACGTTTACTTGAAGGAAGATTTGGAGGTTCATACCCTCAACCTTTGGTGTATCACCTTGACCAACACATTGTTGATACCGGCCGAAAACCAACGCTACGTTTCATCAGTTTTGCCGTAATCAATACGATGGAATAGGAGACCAACCGCTACCATTGCGCCAACCACCCATCCGTCGTTGTTGATTGGTTGATCGAAAGTTGTGCTAATATATATCAGCTTGCTATGGGTTCCGACGGGAACCGAAGCCAGCTTCCCGAAAGTGGGGTCGACGACGAGTTTTCAAGACCTCATCCTACGCTTTTAGATCGTGCTTCATAGTATTAGATATAACAGAAAGTTTCAAAGACACATTCATCCTACTCAGGGGGGCTCGATGCTGGACGGAAATCCACAACGATATCAATATCAGAATGCTACGATGGCACAAGAATGACATCACGTCTCTCATTGAGATGCTATCTTGACTTTTCATCTGGAAAAACAACGCAAACTTGAGAGATCCTCGCGGTTCCAATCAGTCAAAACCGAAGTCCCTGATCATCCCGACCATAGCGGAAGCGAAAGCTCCCCCAAACCCACAATCGTACCACTGCCTTCCTTGGACATTAGATATGCAGTCCAACTATTATTTCACGGTAACAACAGCCCCATACCAATCAATCAATCCGTCAGTCCATGAGTTCCCACCCAACTCCTGCTATCATTCCGGTTCGCAAGTGCATAATTCCTCTGATGCGTCTCAATCACCCACTCATGATGGACCATCTGCAGACTCCTCGCACGATCGTACGGAAACGCCCTGTGGCATTGACCACAAATGACTCCATAGCACCCCGAACGTTTCTGAACCGCGGCTCCGCAGAAAGGACACAGCCTCGTGCGTTGCGAGATGAGAATATTCAGCGTTTCTCGCGGAGGCGGCGAGTACGGTTGGACGCTGTGATCGATCGTTAATGTTGCATTTTTGTTGGTAGGATGGCTAAGAACGTAACTCATCTCTTCCTTCAACTTGGTCGCATACACGTCTCGCTTCTCATACGGTAACAGGTAGTAGACATCCGGCGTCGTCCACGTCAAGTTGCAATCCGGACATCCCATCGCCGACGCAGGTCGAAGATCCAACTGAGCCGCGACCGCTGTACAGAGACATTCGTAGCAGACTTTGTCGTTCTTCAACTTCTTCACGCAAGCCCTGGGTAAATGGACGTTGCAGAAGAACGGATATTTGAACGCCTTCGCTGGCTTGTCTTCGTAACAGTAGCTACACTGGTAGAGCTTGGGAGGTCTTCGTTGCGGGAAGGCGAAGGCCATGAATCGTTTGAGACCTTGCGAAAGTCGGATGTAGGCGGAGCCGTGGGCAGGTGGTTGGACTTGCTCTATTATGTTTATTGCGCTGTCGACCACGGAGTTCGACATGTTCGTTGGAATGGAGATGAAAGAAATTGGGCGAGAGATTCATATTGAGAGGGCGAATGTTTCTCGATGAGTCGCTTTGGTTAGTGGGTTGTGTGCTTACCATGTCGATTACACGGGCTGGTGTTGGTCGTAGAGCCATTTGACTTCTTCGCTTCCAGATGTTTAGAAGCAAAATTTGCTCCTGTATTGCGAATGATGGTGTCCTAATCACAGTCAGGAGAACGTTTGTCATTTCGTAATGACAAAAGATATGTTTCCGTAAAGCAAAGTAGATTCGATACTGTATCTTGACTTTCAGCAACTGCAGAAGCTGCGAACCATCCAAATCGCTACTCATTACCTTCATAAATCGTCGCTCGTAGGCCTGGTCCTCCAGGCTCTTGCTGTCGTATCTCATATTGCGCGTCTTTTCGGATCTCTTCCTTCACCTTCGATGCGAATATTCGCTGTCGAAGCTCGGACTCCTCCTTCGTGGTGCACTCTTTGATCGGGCTCGAGACAAGCTTCTCATGATTCTGTCCTTGATTCCTCCGCCACGACTGACGCTCCTTTCTCGTCCTCGCTCGTACCTGTCGTCGTACCTGTCATCATATCGATCATCGTAACGATCCTTGTCTCTGTAGCTGCGACTCCGAGGGTAATCCAACGAACCACTTCTGACGGGATACGCTCCATCTCGACTTGCTCGCTTGGCCATCTTCGCGGTCTGTCTCTTCTCGTGATGTTTCTCGAAAACGTTCGCGGCAACGGCTCCTACGACAGCTCCGCCGAGTGTGCCAAGTACGTTGTCAGAAAGTTCATGTCCTAACAATGCACCACCTGCACCGCCGGCAATCTTTGCGCCCAAGCCTCGCTCTCCCTCAGATCCTCCGAAGACATCGCGACCGCCTTTCTTTGGATCTGAAGGATATCGTAAAACTTTCTCGCGCACAGAATCTTCCTCTCGCCTCCGACGCCGTTCTCGCTCTCTTTCCCTCTCCCTCTCACGATCTCTTTCTTCGTAATATCGATCCTCTTCGTATCTCCTCTGCCTCTCGATCTCCCGCTCGCGTTCAATCTCGCGCTCACGCGCTTCTTCTTCGAGGGCACGCCTTCTCAGATATTCCGGATCTTGCGGCGGCGGCGGAGGACGTTGATATGTGTATGCTGATTCCACACCTCTCCGCCATTCTGCCTCAGCCTTGTCGTCGTCATACGGTGTCACCTCGTTGAACTCGTGTGGGCCGGGTTCGTTTGGTGCATACGGTCGCTCAGGCTCGGGCGGCGGACCATAGTCGGTATAGTTATGACCAGGAGGCTGCTGTTCATACGAATGATATCGATCGTCCACCGACTCTGGATGTGGTTCGCGTGGTGGAGGATCGAAGTACGGCTGTTGTTTATCCTGGGGTTGTCGCCCGTAGCCATCATCGCTATAGCCTCGTGCGTCGTGATACGGCTGGTGGCCATGCCCGGGCGGATGCCCACTGCCATTCACGTAAGGCTCCGGTCGAGACATATTCGTGTCGAATGATACCGTTTAGCCGATGTGTAGAATCCCGAAGCGTGTGACCTGCAACGTTACGACTCGCGGACAAGACCAGAAAGGAAAGCGAATACTTTGTACCTTCGTTAAAAGGAGATTCCGTACCACACCTTCTCTGTGCGACATGACGTACACTTTCATTCTTTGGCGTCGCGAGTTCCAGGATGTTGGCGCAGTACATCGATCTGCGCCGTACGACCGCCTCATTGGGCATCAGAGCATATCCGGCTGCGTCATCGTGCTGCCAACGATGCTGGAGGCCGAACACGTTGTGTTATACTAGGCATAGACCTAGTAAAAGAAATTTCTTTGGAGAACTTTGAGCCTACGCTTAAAGGTATTGTGAAGAGATCAGGCCGAGGATTGAAGAGAAGAACAGCAATATTGATGGAGGCCTGACTAAAATTGCGGCTGGACTCAACGGCCTCTGCGTCAACGCCAATGAAAAACTTGGGTCGTACTTCCATGTCGACCTCACTTGGACCTTCTCCTGGAACCAGATAAAGACTCTTGAGATGATGGCGCGTACGCACCTCGAATGCACATCTGAAACGACGCTTTGCCATCCTTCTAAAAGTCTTTCACAGACCGCATCGCCTTACGTCTTTTTTTCGAGACCTTCGCCGCCCATCTCCGTGAGCCATTATCGACCCATTGCGGCCGCCTTCGAAGCACTCGCACAACGTGTCATGAGACGGAGCTTTTGCTCCAACGCCCTCGGAAAACCTCCGTCAGGCTCATGAACCCGACCGTGTCGACTTATCAGCAGTAGTCTCTAGACGAAGGCAGCAGAGTGTCTGCTCGCTTTGGCCGATCTTTACCCCAAAAGGAAACCGAGCATTCACAGGTCACCGTAGAACTAAAGTGAGGCTATGCTCCTATGTCTTTGGCCCTTTGGAAATAATCTTCAGCCAGTGTCCAGCGCCTTCAACAGGTACACTAAGTATCTTGACATTATCAGCCTCAGAGCTGTCCGTGGAATGCGAATTGCGAATGCGACTTTGTCCCTACTAAGCCACGATATGATGGACCGTCGCCATGATCACGCACTCACACGAAGTCCAAAAGAATGAATGGAAAACATATAAGGAAGTGTCGGCCAGCACACCATAGTAGATGACCAAACCCACCATTCAGCGTCTATGATCGCGTGCTACAAAGTCGCCTTCTACACGATGACTCTCGAAAAGGACATCCCCATCACGGTCGACGGTGCCTCATCACTCTACACAGACATGGACGATCTCTCCTACGTCAAGTCCGCAGAGTCCTCTGAAAATAACTTCGAAAACCTGTCCGGAAGGATCTTGACGTTCAATCATGCCGACTTCCCATGGCGAAACATATCGATCCAGGAGAACGACACACCCGTTTATGTCGCCGACATATCCGCCTTCACACCGAACAAACCAGACATCATACTCCACAGCCGCACTGAGAACGGTCCCGTTGTTGGGCAGGCGCATTTCCGCTGGTCGCTGTCAATCAAAGCCGGCGTCGGTCCCAATGATGTCTCGATGTACTGGACGAACATGAAACGCGGCGGAGTCCTCCATCGAAATTACACATTCGAATATCGAGGCAGGATCTACTCGCTTCGACGAACGCATTCGACTCACAACGGAGTCGCTCCGCATCAAAGAGCAATGTTCTCGCACATGAAGGTCGTCGATGAGGCGAGCAAGGAAGTCATTGCAGTGTACGTGAGTACCTTGACGGTGAAGAAGAGACGGGGAACGATCACGTTTGCCCAAGGTGTTAGCCCGGAGCTTGAGGTTCTATGCATCATGGGTTTCGCGGCGTGGAGGGAGAAGATTGCGAGGGCTGGAGGACGGAGTAGTGGTGGTGCGGGCGGGTGGTCTTAGAGGATGTGCGAGTCGCATGGGGGCTTGTAGATAGGGCGTTGCGTGACTTCGAGGTGTTAGGGCGTAATCTTGAACGCTTCATTCGGTTGTTCTTGATCTCAGAGTTCTAAGTACAATTCCTTGGTCTGATCAGAGGCTGGCGTTGCAACGAATGTCAAGCGAGAAGTACTTTACTGCTCTGTCACAACGCGAGTAAATCACTTGTCCCGAAGGAGTCGTATTCGGGAGCTGCTCGCATAATATGCACCTCGAAACAAGCTCTCCAGCTATGACACGAGATCTTTCAGGCACGTGGGAAACTAATGATTCTTCGCACAAGTAAAGAGAAGATTTAAACGAGTATTGGACCAGACAAGAATGCCGACCTTAGCCCATATACGAGCTGCTTGACCAACATCCGCAAGGCTGCAGCAGGCTCTACACCGCCAACATGACATCCAACCCACACTACGGACCCGAAACAACAGGCACAGAAGTCGCACAAAGATTCTCCGCAGAGATCAAAGGGAGCACAGGTCTGCTAAACCATAACCTCAACAATTTCCTCACTAATCCACCTCTCCAGTCCTCATCACCGGCATATCCCCCAACTCCCTCGGCGAAACCCTCGCCCTCACAATCGCCAATCACTCACCCGCCCACTTGATCCTCGCCTCGCGAACCGGGTCAAAACTCCAAGAAGTCGAGCGGAAGCTTAAGCCGTCGTCCGAAACCCGCATAACCCTCCTCCCCCTCGACCTCGCCTCCCAAGTCTCGATCCGTGACGCCGTGGAGAGGCTGGAGCGTCTGATCACCCACATCGACGTCCTGATCAACAACGCCGGCGTCGTATCTTCTACTCGGCAGGAGACTGCGGAGGGATTGGAACTCACGTTCGGAACGAACCACATCGGCCACTTCCTACTGACCTCTCTCCTCGTCCCTAAACTCCTCGCCTCGAATTCTCCACGAGTGGTCAACGTCAGCAGTCTAGGCTACAAACTCTCGCCCTTCCGCTTCCATGATTACAATTTCCTAGGCAAAGACGTTCCGCCAGAGGAGTTGCCGCCCAAGGGACTGCCGAGGTCCTTCACGCCGTCTGGGGAGAAGGGGAGGGAGTACGTGACGTTCTGTGCGTACGGGCAGAGTAAGACCGCGAATGTGCTGCATGTTGTTGGTTTGAGGCGAAGGTTTGGGATGAGGGCGTACGCGGTGCATCCTGGCAGTACGGTTTGCCCTCACCTTTCAACAGCCGATTTGCCTGCTGATGTGATGTATCTAGCTATCTGGACCGACCTCCCACGATCCCTCAGCGAGAGAGATTATAAGATCATCGAGGGGTCGCCGGTGTGGAAGAATCACGACCAGGGGATTGCGACGACGCTTGCGGCGGCTTTTGACCCTATGTTGAAGGACGCTCGGGAGGGGGTCTTTCTCAGTGATTGCCAATTTGAGGACGTGCTACCTTATGCGAAGGATTCTGAATTGGCGGAGAGGCTGTGGAAGTTGAGTGAGAGTCTTGTTGGGGGACAGTCTAAGCTTTGAGGAGATGAGCTACGAGTACAGAAATGATTGGGGGTATTATGTTGAACTAGCACCGAACGCCTGGAACGTACTTGAGTGTTGAGAACAGAGACGAGAGATTCACACCGGCTTGACAGCCGACTCAGCGACCTTTGGACCTCCTTTACGGTTGATGGTGTGCACTCCTTCACCGGAGTCGTCGTCTTCCACGGCAGTGGCGGTGGCGACGGGGCCCTGACATTGATATCTTCTGAATTTTCGAGCCGGGAGACGGGCTGCGAACATCTCGTCGATTTCTTCAACTACTAGAACGTCAATACCTGAATGCAAGACAAGAGATGATCGATCGAACGTACGTGTCCTTCCCTTGGCCTCCGGCAAAAACCAAAACACCCACGCCGCGGCGACGAAACATGACGGAGCCCAGATGTACCCATACCTCGGGCCCCAGTCGAGGGAGGACGGGTTGATGAAGTATGGTGCAGTGAACCTAACATTGTCAGCGACAACATTGAACGAGAGATATGTAGAAAGAACTCACGTCGTAAGCCAAGCCCCTAAAAACGAAACCCCAATCGCACAACCAAAAGTATAAGACCTCATCCTCTGACTCGGCAGCTCACCACCCGCCAGAAACGCGTACGACGAGATCAGACCGTTGAAGCTGATGACATAGATGATCGAGAGGGCGACGACTCCCTTGAGCACAGCCTTCTCTGTAGGTTTGGCGTCGTAAATGGCTGCCTTGGTCAATTGGACGATGCCGCAGAGGATGAGGCCGGTGGTCAGGAAGACTCGGCATCTTCCCCAGCGCGTGATGATGCAGGTGTTGACGAGCATGGCGAGCACGCCGAGGGCGACGAGGATGATGCTGTTCTCGAAGGGTTCGCCGACGCCGGCCATTTCGAAGAAGTACCTAACTACTCGTGAGCGTTCTGGGCTGTCGGTCTGAGGGTCTCGAGGCTGTCTTACGTTCCGTAAGCGATCATGTACATCGCCCCTGAAGCAACTTGCGTGTTGACGGCAGCGATGGTCAAGATTGTTCGACGGCGATCGATGGGATTGCGCCACATTTCTATCCAGAGTGCTTTGCCTTGATGCTGTTTGTCTTCGTCGATCGCTGCTTGGATTGATTGGAGTTCAGGCTCGACAGCATCTTTGTTCGGTCGAAGCCAGTAGAGTGCCTTGCTGGCCTTGTCGGTCTTGCCATGTTCCCTAGGAGACACAAATCAGTACATATGCGTAGACATTGAGCTGCTTTCCGACTCACATCAACCACCTAGGACTCTCCGGCACCAAAAACAACCCCACGGCAATGAAAACCGGCGCAATATAAATCAACCCCAATGGAATCAAAGAACTCTCTCTCCCCTCCAACTTCGCCGTATAATTATCCACAATCGTGCCCACCAGCTGGCCCACCGCAGTCCAAAGACTAAACGCCGCGAGCGCCATGCCCCTGAACTTCGCCGGCGTGACCTCCTGCAGATACAGCTGCGAGAACGACATGAACAGCCCATTCGCGAGGCCAATGATGAAGCGGCCCGCGTAGAGACCGCCGATGGAGGTGTCGACCATCATGATAATGTTGGCGGCCCAGCAGAGCACGCAGGCGACCCAGAGGCAAGGCTTGCGGCCGAGTTTCCAGGCTATGGGGCCTGAGAGGCCGGAGGCGATGACGGCGCCGAGGATCATGAGGGACGAGATGAGTTGTTGGCGGGTCGTGGAGAGGTTCCAGCCTGAGGGGGAGTGCGGATCTTGATAGCCGTAGATTTTGAGGAAGCCTGGCATGGCTGTGCAAAGTTGATGGTTAGTATGAGGGGGTGGTGGTGAGGCAGGGAGGTTCGTTCACCCTGAAGACCACTGATCATCCCAAAATCGAGTCCATATTGAAACGGACACGTCGAGACCAAAATGCACGCCAGCATGCATTTCCAATTCGCCCTTAACGTATCATCTTTCTTCTCACTCGTCCGCGCCCGCGAGCGACTCTGAATGATCAACTTATCAAGCAACGGCATCGTTCCTCGTCAACAATGAAGTTCTGCAGGTCCAGAAGAGAACACCCCGTTCCGTTCCATCTCAATCCTTATGAATTTCGGAGCTTTTCGAGTCCACGTTGCACGGTGACACAATTACGAGTCGTCGGAAGAGCCGTCTCCCTGGGAGATGCCTGGACCTGTCGTAGCTGGGTGAAAGTCAAAACAGGTTGTATTTGTGTTGGAGTCGAATCATGTTGCAGCGCTCAAACGGTATCTCGCTGAAGGGCTGGGTGGAGAGCCGTTGTTGCTATTCCGGTGGGCATTACAGCAGACGAGTATGTCCGTGAAGCGATGAGTGTACTTGATTCGGAGTTCATTATGAGATGCAAACTTGATCGGTGTTGGTATTGTCAAGTTATCCAAAATTGACAGGTGCGGTGTGGCTGATCAGTTGGTCTGCATGTGAGCATGCGCAGCCTGGGTACGGCAAAATTCGACACCGATTGCCAGGAGCTGGTGTTTTACAGGCACAACTGCGATCGCAAGTTCCAGCATTAATCTTGCGCTGTTCATGCACTTTCGGAGAATACTCAATGTGAAAGAGCTTCGTTGAAGTGATGTCCATGCAAGCTTCGATCTGGGTCCTGCTCGTGACAACTGCAGCTTTTGCTGTTCGTCGGCTGCACAGCAGGATAGCAAGTGCCCTTCAGCATGCCGGCAGTGTCTCACTCAAGCCCACACCTTCGGAAGAGACACGGTTTTTTCATTTGGTGGCTTGTGACGGCGAGTCCGAAAGGGCAGAGATCGTGTCCTTTCAGACGATGAAGCAGCAGGAAGCCTCACATCTAGAAGTGGCGAGGGAAATGGACGTATGGCTGGTTTTTGATGTGGGCTGATTCACACTATTAACATTATCAACTGTCTGTATTCTTGAGTATTCACCTACCAGCACCTCAACCCAATCCCCCTCACTCATTAGCTCTACTCTCAATCTCCTCCATGTATTCCGCCGCTCCCTTAGCCATCTCCCTCGACTCATCGCTCAGCTTCTCCCTCGCCGCCATAACCCGAAACTTCTCCTTCCAAAACACCCACCTCGCCATCGTCCACACCTCCATGCCCTCCCAGCCCAGCTTAGGACCCGGCTCGTTCACATCGTACCGTACGTCCTGATCCCGCTGATTCTGACTTGCATACCGATACGCTTCTTCGCCCAGGATTCGTATCCAGACCATAGCGGCAGGGAGGCCGGCATCGATATGTCGGGCTTGCGAACCCTTAGCATCGCCCCTGGGTTCTTGTTCCAGGACGTCTCGGAGAGCCCAGATGCCGAGGTTCCAGTAGTGTACGAGACCTGCGCGGATGATCCGAGCGAAGAAAGCGTTCGTGTTGGTCCAGCCGTGGATCTCTGGAGTGGTCATTCCCCAGCCAACGCCGGGAGAGTCGTTCCAAGTCTCTCGTGCTGCAGGACCCAGCATGCTCAAGTCGCTCCAGAGCTTACCGGAACTCCATATCCAATTGCGTTTCAGAGCAATGGTTGCGTTCTCTGGCATTGGGGGGTCTGGTCTCGCTTTGATCGTACGGACAAGATGGACGAGTTTTGATTGATTCTCTTCATCGTCCCAGGGCGTCTTCCGCGAGACGTGACAAACGGCGAACCACAGCCCCCATAGAAGTCCCTCCACCGTGTCCTTCTGACGAACTTCTTCAGTGGGCTCGGGAAAGTCCTGCTCGACACCCCACAATTCCGCCGCCTTTGCCGGCTCATGACATTGGCGCTGATTTCTTGCCACCATTTCCTCTTCGTAGAATGCTCGGCCGTGATTCGCGGTTGTGAAGCAGTGCTCTATGGGCTCTGCCAGCTTTGTAACCGCCTCATCGACGGTAATGTCGCCGTTCATGTATGCGTTGATGATGCTATTGCCGATGCCATGGGCGTCAAAGCTGCCTCTGATGTCGGCAATTTGGTCGATTTGTTCTGGTTCCGTCGGGACATCTTGGATGACTTGCTCTATACGTTGTTCGTCTGTTTGTTCCCGCCGGGTCCAGGCATCCATGACAGGCATTTTGATGGTGTTGATAATGTGAGTTTTGATCATTTGATTCAGGCTCTTATGTAGGCAAGTTGCATGTTCCAGGCATCAGCATTTCAACCATCGAGTGTGACTGTTGGTTGTGGCGAAGGCATGGAGTTGGCGGCGTCCCGAAGAGGAAGCGATCAGCAGACCCCATTGCGAAGAAGTTGCGGCAGGTCCATCGGTGAACTCGTGAAGAGAACCATTAATGGAGCCTGAAATGTTCCTGGTTACTTCTTGGAAATTTGAGAATGTCTTGTCTGCAATATCCGTACTTACCTGAAGAAGACTTCCCGGTCAACCAACTTCATTTGGGAAGATGTCGAAGGATGCAAGCAATCTCCCATATTTGATGCTCGAATGACCTTTCCAATGTATGTTTTACACTGCGTAGACTTCTAGGCGTTCCAAGGTCGGTGCTGTTGTGAATGCGGCCTGCAGGGAAGAACACGGTCGGATTTCTAACCAGACCGAACTACATTACGCTCGGTTCCAGTTGCACATATTAGCACCTTACACTCTTTTGATATATCCTTACATATGACCTGTGGGCCTTGTGTGACGTTGCAAATCTCTGCCATGAGGCGCTCGTAGCGACTCAAAACAGCGTGAGTGTCTCCCTTGGGGTATCCACAAAGTCTAATACATCTCTACGGCCTCTTCGCCTCTCCCCCATTCTTCTCCCAATCGAGCCAACTACCTCTGTATTCCGCAACCTTCGAATACCCAAGCTGTTGTGCTAGTTGCGCGGCGGCGCTACTCCTCACCCCGCTCTTGCAGTAGAAGACCACCTCTTTATCGGCTGAGGGTTTCTCGAATCCGAATCGATCCTCAAATTCGTCGGCGGGGAGCATCATGGCGTCGGGTTGAGACTTGATCGGGATGTTAATGGCGTTGGGGATGTAGCCGGCGGCGTATTCGGTGGGCTCGCGAACATCTGCAATTCCCATGAGATGCCGTGCCAATCATTCGCAATCGATGCAGAACATACCTATCAGAACGGTGCCCTCGTTGGGCGACTCGCTGAGCTGTTTGACTTGGTTGAAGTCGTATACTGTCGAGTTCGATGACGGCGCCGAATGCCATCTTACTGATGCGAATGCTGGCCGTATCGTTCTGGGAGTGGTGTGTGTTCTGGGAGCTGGTGCATATGCTCTTGCTGTGAGGCTCCTGCGGCATTGCTGGCAGACATTGACCCTGAGAGCCGCAGTTGCTGCTGATCGTGCGAACGCCATCTTCTCAATTGTGGTGTGGATTCTTGTTGATGCTATGGGAAGTCAAGTGTACCTGTTGCTGTGGTAGAGGTCCAAGCGGAGTGCAGTCCGGTGGGATGGAGCAGCACGTGATCCACGCGAGACAAACGCGACTTTCAACGACGCCTCTCCCTCTTCTTTTCCGACATCCACACCAGAATGGGTTGAACCTCCCCAGGCCATGGCCACGATCAAGGCCATCGAAGACCGCTCCGTCCACCAGATCCAGTCTGGCCAGGTCATCGTCGACTTGCAATCCGTTCTTAAGGAACTCGTCGAGAACAGTCTGGACGCGAGGGCCACATCCATCGAAGTCCGCCTCAAGAACCATGGTCTGGACGCTATCGAGGTCCAAGACAACGGCAAAGGCATCGCTCCGGAAGACTTTGAGACTGTTGCTCTAAAACACTATACTTCCAAACTCTCGAGCTACGATGATCTGAACTCTCTCGACACCTTCGGCTTTCGTGGCGAGGCTCTGTCATCTTTATGCGCTCTGTCCAACTTCCACATCACCACTGCCAGAGAGCAAGATGGCGCTGTTGGCAAGAAGCTGGACTTTGAGCTTTCTGGCAAACTGAAGAGTGCTTCTGTCTCAGCCGCCCCGAGAGGCACGACCATCTTTGTCGAGAACATCTTCCACAACCTCCCGGTCCGCCGCAAGGAACTCGAGAAAAATATCAAACGCGAGTATGGAAAGGCGCTCAATCTCCTCTACCAATATGCGTGCATCTCGGTGGGTGTGCGCTTCTCCGTCAGCAATCAGGTGCTCAAGGGCAAGAAAGTAGTCGCCTTTTCTACCCAGTCCAACACCGCGACCAAAGAAAACATCACCAACGTGTTCGGTGCCAAGACTCTTCTTGCTTTGACAAAGCTCGACCTACGTCTCGAGATGATATCAAGCGTCGGCCCCAGCACCCAGAGCGCCCGCAACTGGTCAACCCAGGCAACTAACCGTTCCTTGGAAGTCCAGGTGCAAGGACATATCTCCAAGCCCATTTTTGGAGAGGGGCGACAAGCTCCCGATCGTCAGATGTTCTTTGTCAACTCCCGACCATGCCAACTTCCACAAGTGTCGAAGGCTATTAATGAGGTGTACAAGCAATTCAATGTTTCCCAGACACCGTTCATCTTTGCAAACTTTGTCATGGATACCAGTGCGTACGATGTCAACGTCAGCCCAGACAAGCGGACGATCTTGCTGCACGACCAGACAGCGTTGCTGGATAGCTTAAAGAGTACATTGACGCAGCTTTTCGAGCAGACCGATCATACAATTCCGCAGTCGACCCTTCCGAATCGAAGGCTGCCTTCAAACCAGCCGCTGAAGATCACCAGACGAGAGTCAATTGAAGCATCCGAATCGCAAGAAGTTGAAGAGGATGGCACAGGTGATGCCAAAGAGAGTGACGCTGAATCAGATTCTGAATTGGAGGTCGCTGCTGCTCAGCCAGTGGAATCACCCACTGATCTGATACACAATTGGGTCGATCGTGATCTCCAACCACGATCAGAGAAGCAATTAACGAAGATGCAGAACGGCGTCCTGAGCAAAGACAAGCAGAAGCTCATAAAGAAACTACAGGAGCCTTCTGCTATGCCAGTGGACCCCGTCAATGACCGTGTAGCTTTACAAGAGGATTGCCGAAGCAGAGGCGGCGAAAGAGACCACGTTGAACGAGAACTTGCTCCAGCGAACACTGATGTTGCTACTTCCACCTACAAACCAACTTCCACAGTCGATGCTGTGCACAACCCGGATCCGATGAGCACACCTTACGACGATCTATTCTTGCAGAGACCGGCCGAGATCCCTCGACAAGCCCAGGATTTCAATGCACAACTCGAGCGAGTCAGAGGCAACGATCCAGACGCCTCCGATGTTGACGAGAACGAACAACTCCCAGACGATGGAGTTGATAGTCAGTCTGCACAGGGTGGGCAGGATAGGCAGTCTGGAGAGGACGATGTCGATGAGGAGTCCAACCAAAGACAACCAATCTCCAGACAAGCCTCACAGCTTGGCCCCGCGAGAGATGAACTCGCGATACCAGCTATCGCTCCAGGTACTCAGAAATCTGCTCCTGGACCCATTCAAAGCGCATTTGAAAGGATGCGGCCAAAGCGCACGCCGCTTCAGACGGCCGAGATCACAGTTGGCGATGTGACTACTACGACTGTTATAGGAAGCAGCCCTCCGTACAAAAAGCGTCGTATTCATAAGCCGAACGACTCACAGGCAGTTGCAAGATTCGGCGCGAGCCCGTCCCTTGCGAGGGGTCTGCGTCAGAAGTTTGCTGCTCCTGGATCGCAACTTCAGCTTGACAGCAGTGCACTTCCCCTGACAACTTCCAGAGATAACCAGAGCGAGAATGGATCGATTGAAGAGGCCAGCGAGCAGTCGGATGTGGACGAGCACAGTACCGAAGAAGCGTTGCACAGGCCGAAAGATACCCCTAACACCAGCGATACACCGACCTCTGACGCCCTCGACGAACTCATCCCTGCGCCCGTTAACGACGACGAGTGGGATGGAGATTACATGGACGAAGAGGAGAAGAAGGTGCGAGAAGAGGAGCGAGTCGCGGCTCTTATTCAAGAAGCTGAAGAAGCTGCTGCCAAGCCAACCGAAGAGAATCTGAAGCGTGCTGCCAACGCCCTTAAGAACGGCGGGAATCGGAAGGATTCGACCTTGCAGCTCGTACGGTTTCTCGACACCTCCACCGCTGCTATCGAGAGGCAACTTCAGTACTTCACTTCTCACAGTGCAGCCCATTGCCACCACGAGGATAAAGCTGAAAATGGGGACAATGCCATAGTCAAGGACGAGCTGGATGGCACCGAAGCTGAAGCTCGCCTCTCGCTCACTGTCACTAAGCCAGACTTCGAACGAATGCGAATCATTGGCCAGTTCAACTTGGGTTTCATCCTCGCCGTTCGACCAGGCGCAGCATCAGGTGACGAGGACGACCTCTTCATCATCGATCAGCACGCTGCGGACGAGAAGTACAACTACGAGCGACTGCAGCGAACGGTCACATTGCAAAGCCAACGCCTTGTAATGCCGAAACCATTACAGCTCACAGCCATGCAAGAAGAAATTATCATCAATCACGCCGACGCCCTGAAAGCCAATGGATTCGAAATCGAAATGACGACAGACGTGACAGGATCAGATGATGATGAAGTATCTCGCCGGCAGTGTCGCCTCCTGACACTACCAATGTCTAAGGAAAAGACGTTTGATCTCTCCGACCTCGAAGAGCTCCTCCATCTGCTGAGTGAACAATCCGCCGGCAGCAACGAAATTCCTCGGCCGAAGAAAGTACAATCAATGCTGGCCATGCGCGCTTGCAGGAGCAGTATCATGGTCGGCAAAACTCTAACGATGAAGCAGACGGAGAGAGTAGTGCGACACATGGGCGAGATGGAGAAGCCGTGGAACTGTCCGCACGGACGTCCGACCATGAGACATCTTGCTGGTCTTGGTGAATGGAAAGCATGGCAGGAAGGTGACTTGGTAGTAGACGAGGACAACAGGGATGCAAGTCGAGCAAAAGGTGGAAGCCAAACGAATTGGGAGGAATGGCTGAAGAAGCAGCAGAAATCATGACCGCCATTGATATATGCTGATAGGTGTTTTTAGTTACTCCCGGTCCTTCGATACCCAAAGCAGCGATACGTCAACTCCGAAGACATCTCCATCCAGCGCATTTCGTGCAGATATTCTGCGCTAGCTGCGTCGTATACTATTCCCTCATCGGCACAAAGTGGTAGCACCATGCCCACGCTTCGCCCGAGAGTCTACGTATTTGCGAGGCTCGCTCTTCAGTTCCACTCTCAGTCGCGAGAACAACCTATTCAGCTGCAGATCGCTTCGCCGCTTCGTCAGCAGAAGCTGCGTGTTCCTATCAGGCCTGACTCACGCTTTACTCACAGATATCCAATATTTCCTTTACACTTCCAGCCCCGAAAAAATCATCCAACACCACCTCCCCCTCGAAAGATCTCTCCTTCCGCCCAAGCACCCATTCATCCACCATGACCCTCACAAAAGAACTCCCCACAGTCCTGCACACCCCCCGTCTAACCCTCCGCCTAGCCGACCCAGACAACCCCTCCGACTGCCAAAAGATCATCCAAATCTACAACGACCCACACTCCAGCATCGGCGGCAACGCCCGAGTCGGCATCAACACGCCCGCCGACGTCCACGCCAAACACGCCAAACACGGGCCCCGGCAGGAATTCTGCACGAAGGCGGTCGCGCCGAGGGGGTTGTTTCATTTGACGTTTTTGAAAACTTCAGAAGATGATGGAGGAGAAGGCGAACTAATCGGCTTCATCGGCCTCTCCTTCCGCCCAGAAATGCCGTACCCAGACCTCGGCTTCGCGCTCTTCAAACCCTTCCAGGGCCAGGGCTACGCCTCGGAAGCCGGGCGGCGCGCCCTGTCCTTCTGGACGGACGACGTCGGCGTGAAAGAAATTTTCTGCGGGGCGCTGGAGGGGAATGAGAGGTCTCTGGCGACGGCTAAGCGGATTGGGTTTGTGGAGGTTGGGGGGTTTGATGTGGAGTTTGGGGAGGTGGGGAGCGGGGAGGTGGTGAGGAAGAGGGCGGTTGCGGTTGTGCTGCCTGGGATGCGGTGGAGGGAGTTCGATGAGGGGGGACGGAGGGTTGTTATTAGGCCGACGGTGGGGGTTGAGACGGAGGGGCAGAGGAGGGGGGAGATTAGGGTTAGTTAGGTGAAGGGGGTTGTTGGGGAAGGGTGGGGGGTTGAGGGAGGGATTTTGCTGCAGGTACTCGTCGGTGGTGGTGCTCTTTTCGTTGTGGTAGATGTGCAGGTACGTCTGGAATTGAGTTTCCCCAACTGGAACGAGGAACGGCGATTTCGTGCACTGCAGATAATGGGCCCAGTAGATTTCCAGAATTCTCCTCATCCGAGGGTTCATCTTAATTGCATCGGCGTATGATTGCGGTGTGGGAACGTTGTTGAACCGACTCATCAGGGTTTAGGCGCTGTCTCCTCGACGGCGCTGATCGTCGATGTTGACACCCTCTCAGTCGCCTTCCGAACTTCCATAGCGCAAGCCGACAAAAGCGCCCCTCCCACAAACCCAGCAGCCATGACAAACACCTGCCTCAAAGCCTGGCTATACGCCCCCAGAAGCGCATGTAACCCCTCCCCATGCACGAAAGATCGAAACGCCGTAGCCCCCGCAGCAATGACACTCTCGACGTCCACGTCTTTCGTAAGAAGCTCCTCTCCGTGCCCTCGCAAGACATCTAATAAGACCGCGTTGCCGACACTCACACCTAGAGCCCCTCCTAGGCTTTGGCAGAATGCCATTAAGGATGTGCCCATGGGGATGTCGTTGGGAGGGAGGACGGCTTGGACGCCGAAGAAGCCGGATTGTAATGCTAGGCCGAGTCCTGTTCCAAGGAGGATTTGATAGCCCGCCCAGTGTGCCGTGCTTGTATTCTCGTTGATCGTCGTCATGAGTCCAGCTCCGATGATTGTAAGGGAGAGACCGAAGACGGCGGGAGGCGTGAAGTAGCCGATTTTCGTGACAAGCACTCCTGCTACGATCGAGAAGACGCTGCACGCCACAACCAGGGGTAAGAGGTCCACAGCCGAGCCGACGACGCTGGCGCCTTTGAGGGCCTGGAAGTAAAGCGGCAGGAAGTAGATATATGCGGTCAAAGCGGCGTACATGGCGATATTGGCGATTCCGGCGGAGAGGATCGTGCGTTGTTTCAGGAGACGGGGGGTTATGAGGGCGTTTGAGCCTTGGTGGGCTTGCCAGGCTGCGAAGAGGAGGGTTGTGATGATGGATCCTATGAGGAGGCCGATGATCAGGGAGTTGTTCCAAGGTGTCCCATCGGCTGCTCGCTGCAGGGCGTAGAAGAGCATTGTTGCTGCGCCGAGGAGCAGGACGACACCCAGGATGTCCAACGATGAGATCTTCGACAGCACACTCTTCCCTCCCCGTTCTCGCTGCTTTGGCGGACGGAATAGCACCGCCATCCCCAACACCACCGGTCCCCCAACCGGCAAATTCAACCAAAAACACCACCGCCAACTCACCTTCTCCGTCAACGCCCCGCCCACCAGCGGCGCCACAATCGCCCCGAGACTATACCACAACGACACGCCCGCGATCCACGCCGGCCGCGTCCTCTGCGGGACCGTCTCCGCGACAATAACATACGACCCGGAGAGCACACCGCGATGGCGCGGCCGACGATGAGCGCGGGGGATGTCGGGGCGAGGGCGCAGATGAGGGAGCCGAGGAGGAACGTGGCGAAGGCGGAGAGGTAGATGGGTTTGGTCGGGAGGAGGGTGCAGAGGCGGCCGAAGAGGGGTTGCAGCGCGGTGAGGGTTAGGAGGTAGGCGCTGGCGTACCAGCCGATGGAGGGGAAGGAGTGGAAGGTGTTGGTTATGTGGGGGATGGCCTGGGAGATGTTAGTTATTACTGGAGAGGGTGGAGGTGTGGATGCGTGTGAGTGGGACTTACGACGGCGACGATGGTTCTGTCGAGGGAGAGGAGGAGAACGGCGAGGCAAATGCATGTCGTTAAGAGGGTGAGACTTCCTCTGGAGATGTTGTGTTCGTCGTCGAGTTCAGATGTGCTCGCGTTGTTGCTGTCCTTCGAAGCCGTGGCTTCAGACATCGCGGCAGGATCTTTCTCTTCGTTGCTCGCCATATTTGCATCCCGTTAAACACGTCGCAGAAGGCTCAAGCATCTGTTGCAGAGCGACCGACCGAAGGCAAAACACTGATGTTTGAATCAAAGAGTCTAACACCTCGTTTTCCCTAAACTGCAAACCCACTCCACATCAAGCCACGAAGCAGTTGCTTATCGTGCGTGTTTCACCGCGAATGTGGCGTCTACCTCGAGATTGAGAGGGTGTAGTAAGACGGTAAATCCATCTTGCCTGACCTTGCTTGAGGGCATAGGTATTTACGGGAAGTGTGCATGGGCGTCAATCGCCGTGCATGACCGACTGGTGCGAACGGTGCACTTTTTCTCGCCGTACGAAAATCTTTGAAAGGAATGCTCCATGGACGGTGTGTCAGCGCGGCCCCTTTGAGGGCCATCTCATTGTGTATACATCTTTGCCTCCTGCGAAATTCGCTCTTCACTCGTTTGGAAGCTTTGGGTCCCTTGAGGCTTCGTCACTTGCCATCCCGTCATCTGCGACGATTAGATGAAATCCTTGGGGCAGGACTCGCTGTGACAAAGCAATGGCTCGTCATGTCACCTTCGAAGGCTCTCTGGCCTTCAGCGTACTAACGGCCTTGCTTCTCATCCGCTTCGGCTTACTGTCGACGGCCAATGCGCTTTTCTACTCGACATCAGCAAGTCTCTGCTCCTGGATCATCTACCGCACGTTCATCTACCCATTTTACATCTCACCTCTTCGTCACATTCCTACTGTGCCAGGGTGTCCTCTATGGGGCCACGCGCCGGCTCGATTGTCCAACGAACTCGGCATTCCAGAGCGCGAATGGCACAGAAAGTACGGACTCATCGTGAGGTACTTCCTGCCCTTCGGGTTCGAGCGGTTGAATATTGCGGACGACGATGCCATCAAGGGGGTGACTGTGAGAAAGCCGTATGACTTTGTCAAGGCTCCCAACGCAACGAATTGGATGAAGGGCATGTTAGGGGAGAGAGGTGTTCTGCTGGCCGAGGGCGAAGTCCACGCTAAGCAGAGGAAGGTCCTGGCTCCCGCATTCTCGACTGCAGCTATTCGCAACTTGGAGGCTACATTCTTTGAGAAAGGGCTTCTGCTAGCAGACCTCTTAGAGCAGAGCATTCGAGCAGCGCCAGGCTCTAGTCGCTGTATCGAGATGCTAGGATGGTTGAACCGAGCGACACTGGATGTGATCCGGACAGCAGCCTTCGACTACAACGTCGACTCACTTCGGAACCCCGAGGCACCCCTTCGCAAAGCGTACTCGGCGATATTTTCCTTTGACTTGATGGCGGTTGTAGTGATGGGCCTTAGATTATATCTCGATGCAGTCAAGTACCTGCCATGCAAGATCAACCGAGACCATGAAAGGAGTGGCAGAGTCGTCACTGACATCGCTTCAAGTGTCGTGGACTCAAAGCTAGACCCAGACAAGTCTGCTCCAGCTAAGAAGGACATCATCAGCCTGATTGTCAATCACAACCGAACCCTTCCACAAGGCGAAGGGTTGTCTTTCGAGGACATCCGTGACCAGGTCAAGACATTCCTCGGAGCAGGGCACGACACGACTGCAACCGGAGTCGCATGGACGATTGATCTCCTAAGCAAACATGGAGATGTCCATGAGCGGCCGCGCAAAGAGATGATCGCAGCATTGCCATCTCTCGCAGACGCTGCTTCATCGATCGACCTGGAGGCTCTGGCCCAAGAGAACGTTCTCGACCGCCTGCCGTACCTGAACAACGTCTGTCAAGAATCTCTCCGATTCATCCCGCCAATTCCTACCGTCATCCGGAAATCCATCGCAGACAGCCACCTGGGCGGGTACCTCGTCCCAGCCGGCACATACCTGTACATCACCAGCCATGCCATCAACCACCTCGAATGCTACTGGGGAGAGGATGCGGATCGATTTGATCCAGACCGATGGGATCGCCTCCCCAACGGATGGGTTCCGAATGCTTACCAGACATTTCAGGAGGGTCCAAGAGGTTGCATCGGGCGGAAGTTCGCAGAGACAGAGATGAAGGTATTTCTCGTGTGCCTGCTCTCGAGGTTTCGATTTGAGCGGGACGAGCAATGGCCAGATCAAGAGACGAGGAAGATGTGGCGGTTGGTGTTGCGGCCAAAAGATGGTATCAGCGTGAAGATGAGTCTTGTCAACGAGATGGTGTCGTCGGGGAATTCTTGATGTTGCATCCATGGGTATTTTGAGACATGGTCTTCCTTCGTTGCCGCACGCGTTGTCTCGAGAGCAATGTCTCCGAGCCTCGTGGGTAATTCGGCGATGCGGTCCAAGAAATCTTCCAAGGGTCCCTCTTCGGCAAATGGCAGGAGCAGCAGCAGCGCAACTGCTGAAGTCGATCGTGGCCAATCGGAAGCGCGGCAGGAATGATCTAATAGTCTTTCTTCGGCTTCATCACACTCGAGGCGAGTCTATCCAGAACCGGTACCGTTGATTGATGTAGCGTCCCGGATGCGAGCCGATGCCGAATTTGAGAGGGCATGTTTGTGAGGTGTTTTACTCGCTTGCTAATGAAGACCCATTCAAGGCAAATGCACGTTGTGGTCATATCTGCGCATGCAATCATGAGATGTTGTTGAGAGAATCCCTGTAGGCGAACCCAATGACCTGGTCTTGGTGGTTCGATCCGAGATCAAAACCCGATCTGGAGCCTGAAAGCTTGCTGCACAGACCCTCGGCTGGCTCCAGGGGTGCAGCACTCCCACTGCAGGTCCCATCTCGACTACGCTCTAGCTACAGCACCGGGATGCCCTCTCCGCTTCCACCCACCACCGCCGCCGCCCATCTTCCACATCGTCGACGTCTGCGGTGCATCAACCTGCATCTCTGCGTTGGGCGCACGTCGGATCCCCCATCCGCGCCCGCGAAAGTGCCCAAATCCAGGGCCTGACAAGTCGTCGATCGACATCGGGAGTGGCTTGCGCAACGGACAATGGAGCAGAACTTTCATCCTCTCCGTCCAATTGGCCTTTCCGATCGTCTTGCACTACGTCACGCAAGGCCCATTTTCTGTCTAATAGACTGTGAAACGGCTGTGGGAAGTGGGACCGTGTGAATCGCGGCATGCACCTCCATCACAAGTAAGAGAAGCCTTTTGCGTCGTGCGAGGAAGCATTGCTGCGTGGGTGGAGTGTTGTTTTACATTACCCTGTTGAACCCCGTTCTTTCCTATCCTCCTCCTTGTCGCGTTTACGCAGGTCCTTACAACAACCACAGCGCCATCCAGTCGCCCGGTCACGGCGACGACAGGAAGATTGCCCACGATGCCCGGCTCAGATCTCGTTGGACTCGTCTGGAAGAGGAACAAACATAGCGAGGTCACCAATGAGAAGAATCCCCAGTCGACTGCTTCGCCTACAGTGCCCAGCAAAGGCCAATTCATGGGCCTGAGAGGCCAGCCGCTCTCTCATATCATCGGTGTCGTGGCGGCGACGTTCTTCTTCCTCTATGGCTACGATCAGGGTATAGAAAGGCGAGAAATTGCTTAGTTATGGACGCTGGCTAATGATGCGCTCCAGGCGACATGGGAGGGTTCCTCACAGTGCAAAACTTCTTGCATCGGTTCACGCAAGTGGGTGTAGTCAATTTTCCGGATTCTTTGAAAGTCGCCCAAATGACTGCCATCACCGTTGGCATCTGGAACTTGGGATGTCTGTGTTCGGCCGTGATGACCATCTTCACGTCTGATAGGTTTGGCCGCAAGTCACTCATGTTCGTCGGACTGGTGTTGCTCCTCATTGGTCAGATCATCCAGGCCACTTCATTCGCTTGGGGCCAGTTCCTTGCTGGAAGATTTATCGCTGGGTTGGGTGAGTGCAAAGGCAGTGAAGCATTGACGATGAATTCTAATGATCTGGTTACCAGGCAATGGCTTCAACTGTGCCACTGTTCCGGCATGGCAGGCAGAGTGCACCAAAGCCCACCGTCGTGGTACCCTTCTCATGCTCTCAGCTGGTGCTGCAATTGCAGCAGGCATGGCTTTCAGCTACTGGATGGACTTCGCCTTCGCCTTCATCGACAACTCTGCATCGTGGCGAGTGCCCATCGCCCTGCAGATCATCTTCATCTTCGGCATCTTCCCAGTCCTGGCCTTCATGCCCGAGTCTCCACGATGGCTCATCCTGCAAGGCCGAGAGGACGAGGCTCTCAACATTCTTTCAGCTTTGAACGACATGCCCCCTGACGCTCATGAGATCCGCCAGGAGTTCCTCCAGATCAAGGACGCTGTCATCGAGATGGCTCAGGCTAGCTTCAGGAATGTCTTCAAGATGGGCGACTACCGCGACTTCCATCGTGTGCTCCTGGCCGTCGGTCTCCAATTCATGCAGCAGATTGGTGGCATCAACTTCATGACCCAGTACTACGCCAACATGTTCCAGCTTCAGTACAAGTGGGGTGCATGGGAGGCACGATTGCTCTCTGCCGGTGCCGGAACGGAGTTCTTCCTCATGTCTTTCGTTGCTGTGTGGGCCATCGACCGCATTGCTGGCCGTCGAAGTCTACTAATGTTTGGCTCCGCCGGTATGACAATCAGTATGGTCATCCTGACCATCATGCTGGAGATCAACAATAGGGCATCTCTGGACGCTGGAACGGCTTTCATCTTCATTTTCTGTACCTTCTACGCCATTGGATGGCAGGGAATGTCGTGGTTGTACCAAGTCGAGATCGTTCCTCTACGGATTCGAGGCCCTGCCAATGCCTTGTCGACCGCATCTAACTGGACCGCCAATTTCATTTGCGTTATCATTGCCGCGCCTGGATTCAAGACGATCAAGTGGAAGCTCTACATTGTCTTTGCATGCACGTGAGTAGCCATCTCTGCCTTGCTTCTGTACTCACCCGCTGACATACTATTCTCCAGCAACGTTGTCATCCTCCCACTCATTTACTTCTTCTACCCCGAGACCTCCCTCCGTTGCTTGGAAGAAGTCGACTACATCTTCCATACAGCCAACTCCTCCCCACACCCCTGGCTCGACGTGCGCAAGATCGCCGCCGACATCCCACTCTGGTACGGTCGCGACATGGAAGAGGCGTACGACTACGAGGCCAGCGACTGGCATCAGCGACACGTGCGCTTCTCGGACGAGGTCAAGGACTCCGAGGGCGAGACCACTACGCTCAGAGCCACCAGTGACGGTGGATATATGGAGAAGCTGGCAAGTTCTAGCAGCGGAAGCGGAGAAGATGACAAGCCGAGGGAAAATGGTGATCTGGCAGCGCCGAGTCCTATTGTTGGTAGGACGAGCAGAGATTCGGAGAGCAGGTCGAGGAGTGCTGGAAGGGGCAGGTAGATGATCGGACGATCGCTTGTACAAAGTTGTAACGATAAGATGGGATCCGACTTGACTGTCTGTCGAATGAGTGGGACAGTTCTGAGGGACAGTGTACTACTAGTCAAACCGTTAAAGGTGCAAATCAAATCATATCAAATCAAACCAGATCAAATCAAGGACATTTTGGTCAGAGCTTACAGCAGCATCTTCTTGCCTTCGCCATAACATTTGATTAGATTCAAGAAATCGAACATATGATTATCGTACGAAACACAGGACGTTGATCAGCAACATATCGAACATTTGAGTGGCATCGAACACGCTTATCTTGAATCTTATCTGATCCTTGGCACGTGATCTGCCTCTCCCCCACATTTTCGAAAGAGTCATTTTCCAGAAAGCTCACCAAGACCAACGTCCCCTCAAATCTTCACCACGACACCAACACTTCCACCAACCCTTACCAGCAAACACACGTCGCTGAGACACCCAACACTATTCTGACAACAACCAACACCACTCGCCCATCATGTCTCTCACAAACTGCCGCTTCTACGAGGAGAAGTACCCCGAAATCGACTCGTTCGTCATGGTCAACGTCAAGCAAATCGCCGAAATGGGCGCGTACGTCAAGCTCCTCGAATACGACAACATCGACGGCATGATCCTGCTCTCGGAACTCTCGCGACGACGTATCCGCTCGATCCAAAAGCTCATCCGCGTGGGACGCAACGAGGTCGTGGTCGTGCTGCGCGTGGACAAGGAGAAGGGATACATTGACTTGTCGAAGCGCCGCGTCAGCCCCGAGGACATCATCAAGTGCGAGGAGCGGTACAACAAGAGCAAGATGGTGCACAGCATCATGCGGCACGTGGCCGAGAAGACCAATACGCCCATCGAGGAGCTGTATCAGGATATCGGATGGCCGCTGAACAAGAAGTATGGACATGCGGTGGATGCGTTCAAGCTGAGCATTACGAACCCGGATGTGTGGAACGAGGTGACTTTCAAGAGCGATGTCATTCGCGATGAGCTGCAGTCGTACATTGGCAAGCGCCTCACGCCCCAGCCGACCAAGGTCCGCGCGGATGTGGAGGTGACGTGTTTCGGGTACGAGGGCATTGATGCGGTCAAGTCGGCTCTGCGCAAGGCTGAGGCCATGAGCACCGAGGAGACGCAGGTCAAGGTTCGACTGGTCTCTCCTCCCCTTTACGTCCTCACTTCGCAGACCATCGACAAGACCAACGGCATCGAGGTGCTCAACGAGGCGATCAAGTCCATCGACGCCAGCATCCGTCAATTCGACGGCGGTAGCTGCTCGATCAAGATGGCGCCCAAGGCGGTTACGGAGAACGACGACGCTGAGCTGCAGGCGCTCATGGACAAGAAGGAGCGGGAGAACATGGAGGTTTCGGGTGATGAGGACGAGAGCGAGAGCGACGAGGGCGTGGTGGCTGCGCATGATTAGAGGGTTGCTACTCTCTGCATAGCGAGGCGTCTTGGAGTTGGGCAAAATCACGACGTGGGGTTTTGGAGAATGCATGAGGATTCGGCGCCAAGTGAGCGCTCTACCGTGCATGAATGGGATGGATTGCGGTATGAAGATGCGTGGATCCTGTTAGAGTGGTCCAAGTGAGGTGACTACGAGAAAGCCACCCGTATGCATCAACCACAAACGAGTTCATATTATCACGTGCCACGGTCTACCAGAGTCGATAGGTCGTGCCTGTCTGTCACATGCAGTCCTTGGCATGTGAAAAGCCTGACTGAAATCGTTAGCACTGCCTCGAACGGTCACTGCATGCCAGATTTAACGTTAGAGTGCACAATGAATCGATGAATATTCTCATTACTCATCCCATTCAAACGATCTATCAATTCCTACTATCCATACTACTCAATCCCTCTAAAGATTACCTTTACTGTCGCCATGCAAACAACCTACATATACCACCCCGTTGGCCTCGGCCCCCACCAAGGCGGATAACCCCCCGGCCCACCATGATGACTCGTCGTATGATGCCCCTTCGCCGTACTCGTGCTCGTCACCACGGTCGTCGTAGTCGTATACTCATTAATCGGCGCCGTCTGCCCAGGCACGAACGGCGCCTGGGTATTCAAACTCGGCAGCGGGCCCGTCGTCGCCGAACAGACACACCCTTGCGCAAGCGAGCTGACGCTGCTGATCGGCGGGCCGTTGTGGCACCATGTGCTTGTCGTGTAGGAGCCTATGGAGGTGGACGGGGCGGAGGAGGAGGGGAGGAATTCGGCTTTCACGAGCACGGGGATCACGCTGCCGGTTGCGAGGGAGAAGGTTCTGTGTCCGATGACGTCGAGAATCGTGGCGATCGTGCCGCTGTGCGAGGTGAAGGAGATCCAGGTGTGGTCGTCGGAGGTGAAGACGTCGTCTAGGAGGCGGAGCATGCGGTATTCGTGCGCGGAGTCGGGTTCGGCGGTGACGCCGTTCCAGAGCTCGTCGTATTCGTTGAAGCCGGCCTCGATTGCGTACCCGGGGTATGTGTCGTGGATGTACGTCTTGTTGCTCCTGTGATCGCACGTGTGGATTGAGATGCCCTCGCGGAGGAGCTCTTTCACCGTCGGCACGAAGGGGTAGTATTCGGGCGTGGGGATTCCGGAGAAGGTTATGTTTGCGGTCGCGAGGCAGCGGGACAGGGGTGAAGTGTAGTAACTTTGCGGCTGGGGGATCTTCTGCGTGGAAATCTCGTGCAGCCAGAAGTTGTGCGCGATCTGGGCTTGCAAGATGCCGTTGGAGGTGAGTTGGGCGTCGACCCAGCTGGCGGTGCTGTTGCCGGTCAATTCTGCCCAGTAGCAATTCCAGTTGGGCGTCGTGTAGAATGACTCTGTGGCTCGTCAGTTTGACGGTCCTGATGTGATGTGGTGCTTCATGTTTCTCTTCCCGTACCTGCGGCGTTGTGGTATCCTTCACCATGTCTTCCCATGAACAGGACTTTGTAGACGGTATTGAGGGGTGCGTTTGCGTTGAGGGAGTTGACTTGGGTTTCGAACGCTTGCCATTGCGTGAGGTTTGTGAGGTTCGCGGTGGTGGGGTAGGTTTGGTTGATGAGGCCGAAGTTGGACTGGGTCTGTGGCAGTCGGTCAGCACTCAGTCTGCATTCAGGATGTGGCATACTCACGTAGTTGAACGTTGAGGCATTCGTCGAAGGGTCGTCCTGCAGGAAGTAGCCCGTGATGGTGGTATATTGAATGTATCCATTGGGATCAGTAACATTGAGGCTCGCTGCCGTTGTGAGAGGCACTGCGAGGGCCGCCAATGCCAGAGTCGACAGCATCTTGAACGTAGAGAAGTATGTTGAATCAGGAAAGGTGTTGCAGAGTAGCAGACCTACCTCTTCTTCTACTCACCTACCTTCCCGCCGATCCACCTCTCGATCCATCCTGCAGGGCCGTGGTGACGCATGGCTGCCATATGCGAACGATGTCTTCGCACGTTGCTTGCGTTGGCTTGGAGGGACTTTGCCGCAAGAGGCGTCTCGACCGACCACGGCATCTCTGGGACCTGCAGCGAGAGTGGATGGTGGTCGAAATGAGCTGCGGAAGCTCCTATCACACGTGAAGATATGGGCACGTGCTCGGATGTGGAGAAGCGGTCTTTGTTGTTGGGCCCTGTCTCGCTTGCCCTCTCTATCAACCACCCTGCCGATTCCCGAAGCCAGCAAGAGACTCGTGATATTGGTCCGTGGGTCCGTCTCGAGTTGAATTGCTTTTGGTCAAGTCATGGCAACTTCCTCATTCTTGCCGCTCTTCACAATCAAAGCTGTACGCACCCCAGCAGCTGACCGTGTCCTGGGACTCGGCGAATTGGTCGAGGCGATTCTCCTCCACCTCACACCACCCGATATCGTGATATGCCGACGAGTCAGCAAGAAATTCCTCGAGACCGTAACATATTCCAAAGCTGTCCGCCAACTCATCTTCGTCGACTCTGAACCTCAAAGCGAGCGGACAGTCAATCCTCTCGCTCCAGCATGGTTTCACCAACAGAGAAATGGATACCGAGACAGCACCATCGCCGCTCGGATCAATATTCTGGATCTTTGGGAGAACTCTGGCGCTGAGACGAGGCCGCTATGGGATAAGATGTTGATTTCGCAGCCGCCCACGACGACTTGTGTTATTCCGGTGGGGAATCATCTGACCATCTTCTTTCGAAGGTATTATCCCGAAGGCATGACGTTTGGCGATCTGGAACGTGCTGTCATCGCTGCTTTTGAGATTCGCAAGGGGAGGAAGTCGAGTCGAGAGAGGCTTGAAGATCTTTCGAACAATAATTCGGTGCTGATTTACTGGCGATGATGAGTGGAAACCAGGAACACTCGATGTCACACACGGCAGCCACTGGTTGCCTCAATCTGTGCGGTCAAATCTATGCTCGTGCAACAAGCTGAGGCTGCCACTTCTCAACGATACATGGCCACTCATGGTACTTCTTAGATGTTTTGCGTCCAAGAAGACCAAAACGTGAAGAACAGCGACATTCTCCGGTGATCTACGGCACAGAGTCTCGGCAAGAAGCCAACGGATTCAAAGCATTCTCTTGAAGACGTGTCATTTGCGTGGTTGGTCGACTGTATGGACCATCTGTTGTATCTTGACGGCAGCCGCAGAACTCGCGAAACAGAGAGGAGAAGTGTAAAGCGATCCGGCCGGTCCTGTGTCGTCAGGACTCGTTCACTTCAGCGCAGACATATATCAACAGACCTTATGACGACTTCTTCAAACACTCTCATTGCTTTCCCTTTCGCAGTGACCTCTTTTATCAACTGCCGAAAGAGATGTGCTAGGATCTCAGTGTTCGGCAAGTGAGTATGGTGAGATTTCCGATCCGTTTGGGCTCCTTGGCCGGGGATTCCTTGTGCTTTAGACCAGGTGTTCCTACCACCTCTGGTATCTCATTCGCTATCCGTTACTAGGAACCTGTGTTCGGTCTCCACGAGATGCGGAGGCCCCACGGGGACTGGAGTATGACAGGGGCGCAACAGCGAGCGTGAACGACATAAAAGCGAAAGTATACGCTCTGCTATGGTAAACACTTTTACTCCTCAGCTACGATCACATCGGTCAATATGGCTACACAGACAGAGAGCGTTCATCCGATCGTTGTGTCTGACCTCAAGCCTGCACCTGTTCAAAAAAAAAAAAAAAAAAGTAGATAAGAAACCTGCACCACATGACTGGACTCATAGCCTGAAATCGAAATGGCCCATCACTCTGGACTTGTATGGATCGAATCTGCCATGTCGCCTCGAAGGCGAAATAGAAGATCTCGTAAGTCCATCAACCCTGTAATGTCAACGCCCAACAGACTGACCTTGACGACTAGGTCGTTCTCGGACAAATACCAAAAGAAATCGACGGCTCGTTCTATCGAATCATGGTCGATCCTTTTATGCCCCCATGTGAAGGCAACGTGCCTCTCGATGGAGATGGAAATATCTCTGTTTTTCAATTCCATGAGGGAAGAGTGCACATGCGTACGAGATATGTCGAGACTGAGAGGTACTTGCTGGAGAGGAAGGCGAACAAGAGTCTATTTGGGTTGTATCGAAATCCATGTAAGCCGGATTGCATGTGTGAAGGGTACACGCCCGCTAACCAGCCAATGCAGTCACTCATCATCCTTGTGTTCGGTATATGTCGGATGCTCGACGCAGATGTTCTGTTGCTAAGTGTAATGCAGAGCTGCCGTTGACTCTACAGCCAACACCAACCTCGTTCTCTGGGCCGGCCATCTGCTAGCCCTCAAGGAAGGTGCCTTGCCATATGCATGCGATCCACACACCCTCGAGACTCGCATGTACGACCCATTTGGCGGTCAAGTCAACTCCAAGACCTTCACAGCACACCCCAAATACGATCCGTTCAAAGACGAGCTCGTCGTGTTTGGCTACGAAGCAAAAGGTCTCGCCACAACGGACGTCGTCAGCTACACCATCAATCGTGCCGGAAAGATCGAGAACGAGCTGTGGTTTCACCAGCCGTACGAAACGCCAGGCGCCATTCACGATGCTGCTATCACACCCAACTGGCTTATCCTTTTTATTTGGCCCTTTGAGGCCAGCGTGGAGCGAATGAAGCGGCGCGGCCATCACTGGGCGTGGGCGGATGATCGAAACTTCACTGTGATTGTTGTTCCGCGGAAGGCCGATCATCCAGTTGCGCCTGGATGGAAACCGAATGAAGTCCGTTCTTATCACTTCAAGATCTGCATGCCCATTCACACTGGTGCTGCGTGGGAGGAGCCAGATGGGAGGATCATGGTTGAGAGTAGTCGCGTGCACGATAATGCCTTTCCATTCTTCCCGCCAGAGTAAGTCGTGCCACTGTCCCGCTGGGAATAAAGACTCTAACATAACGAACAGCACTGACAACCCACGAATGCCCTCACCCGAAACAAAAGCCGACTACGTTCGCTGGGAAATCGATCCGACCAAACCAGATGGCAGCCATCTCGCCGAGCCACACATCGTACTCGACATCCCCTCCGAATTTCCTCGCATCGACGAACGCTTCCTCACCCAAAAGACCGCCATCACCTTCCTAAACGTCTTCATCCCAGACGGCTCCGACGGCTCCAAGAACATCTACCACGGCCTAAACGGCCTCGCAATGCACAGCAACAAAACCGGGGAAACGAGCTTCTTCTACGCCGGAGATGAATCACAGATCCAAGAACCAATTTTCATTCCACGAACCGATGACGCGGAGGAGGGCGATGGGTGGGTTATGACGCTTGTGGAAAGGAGGGGTGGGGTGTCGAGGTGTGATGTTGTTGTTATTGATACGAGGGCCTTTGAGAGGCCCGTGGCGATTGTACAGTTGCCTTTTAGTATGAAGGCTCAGGTGCATGGGAATTGGTAGGTTCATCCGCAGGTTGTGTTGTGGACCGATGAGACTTTGTTGCTGACTTTGGTCTGTAGGCTTAGTGCGAAGGCTCTTGGGGGGTATCGTCCTATTACTAGACAAGTGCCTGAGGTTAAGGTATCTGGTCGAGGGGCTTTGGAGCCGTTGTGAGCACAAGGCCAAGGTCGGCATACCACTCACTCGAGGGGAGTGTCACACTGGTGTGGGACTCCTATGAGGTCTCAAAGCAATCCTCGAACAATGGCCTTGTTCTATTTGACCAACTATGGCTCCTTTCTTTCGTTCTGAGACTTGTCTTGTCGTCTATTATACCCATAAAGCTTCACTGATCACTCAATAGCATTGAATTCGCCGACATACAACACAGGTATGCATTTAAAATATATATATCCAACAGCGCACGCTCATCGCAGAAGTTACATCCACAACCTCGAGTTCTTGCAACGTTCCTTCACCCACCGTCGAACAGGCTTCCACTATCCATTGACCAAACGTCCCAAGCACTCAAGAAGCATCCACACTACTCCCCTCAACCATGGGCTCCTACTACATCTACCGCGAGCCCGACTACGGCCCCTCAACCTCCCGCCCTGCTGGATACCAGACCCGCGAGATTGTCCGAGGCTCCAGCCATCCCTCCATCCCCTCTCGCCGCCCCTCCCACCACTCCCCAACCCCCTCCCACCGCCCAATCTCCCCCCTCGGCACCTCCCGCTTCGAGCGCTCGTACATCGCCCCATCCCTAACCACCTCCCGCATCGCCGAGCGCAACGCCCCCGTGAGTATCTCCTCGTTCTACTCCCGCAACCTCGACACGCCCAGCCGTCGCGCCCCGCCGAGGCCGAATCTCGATTGGTATTAAGGCGGTGAGTCGTCTCGTCATCCGAGCACGGCTTCGGGCTAAGGCATAGATCTCTCAACTCTCGGCGGAGGCTACGACGGCGCGCGTTACGGTGGTGTGTACCGTCGGGAGTCTTCGAGTCGGAGACAGACGGATTTCAGTCGGGACGCTTATGGTGAGTCGCCCGCTCGTCGCTCGCCTGCTGATGTTTTGGGTGGGCCTTTTGGTTCTGCGACTTCTTCTAGGGCGATGGGAAGGGACTCCCGTCGTGAGCGTGAGTATGCGCCTGCGAGGGAGGAGTATCGGACTTATGCACCGCTTGGTGGGTATGATTCTGCGGTGGCGAGGGGGCAGGGGAGGAAGAGGAGGGATGATGGGGGGAGGAGGTATTGTTAGGGGGTCGGTGGGTACTTTGTGGGGAATGCTTTAGGGGTGTAAGTTTTGCGTGTCGCGGGAGTTATCATTTCGTGTTAGAATCGGAATAGATAGACTCGAAGCTATGCGTTAGAAATCAGCATTTCTCTTAACATTACGATTTAGAAATTATCTTTTGCCACCGCTATGTAGAGCAAAATTTTCATAAGATCGATCCTGTGTCGAGAAAACGGAGCTGGTATTATCTTCGAAGGTATCAATAAAGAAATTTGTCCCTTTGTGGCCACGGGGTCATTGAAAGGCCTTTGTTTAGCACCGCAATTCTTTCATAATGCCATTGTCCGCGAAACCCAGGCGCTGCAAGGTGCCTACTATATATTGCCCTGACCGTGTGTTATTGAGTAGACTCAGCCCTTTCAGCCCTGCGCTTGTTGACCTCCTTGCACTCTGTCGAACTGGTCTCGACGTTGCCACAGAGAAGTTTTTCAACACTTGACGACACACAAGAAAGACGCTCACCTCGAACAACTCCTACGATATCAAAACCCCACGACATCACCCAACATGAAGCGTGGCCGCTACTACCGCGCCCGCAGCAGCTCCTCGAGCCTCTTGACTATGTCAAGCTCTTCGACCTCGCTGTACACCATCCCAGAGACCATGTCCACGGATTAGCTGCACCGCACTGGCTCCTTTGCTCCTGTCCAACCAACCTCGAGTCGAGCCCGCCGCCCAAGTTGGTCAGCTGGTGATGACTCCACCTGGGCCGTCCAGAGCACACAGCAGTCGACTGGATCGATCGCCGCTGGTGCTCCTGCAACACAGTGGCCCACCATCTCCCGAGCAGTCCGCAAATCTCGCCCCTTGTCCCTTTCCTCCCGCGGAAAGAATGGGCCCAACTCTCGTCCGACCTCTCAGACGTTCGCTGATATCCTTGGTGGGCTGTTCCAGTCACCGTTTACTGCTAACAATCCTTCGGGTGTTGAGCAGAGCTCCTCGTCGGGTCTGAGTGGACCGTATCCGATCTTTGCCACCAAGAAGAAGCGCAACTCTTGGGCTTGAGGCGTGATACCTTGGGTGGTTGTTTGACTAGTTCAATAACAGATTGATAGTCCGTTCGGACATGGCGTTTGGTTCTCAATGCTTAGATATAGATTGGAAACATCTTGTCCGGCATACCATCCATTTTAATTGCCTTTCAAAGTCGTAAGAGAAACTTTCACTCATCAGCGTGATGTGACACAAGTCGACCCCTATATGATACGAGGCTGAGCTTTCAAGCCCTAAGCCGGCAGCAATTCCTTTGTTTAAGCCCCTCAGTGATCGTGCGGAGTAACTTACACGTGGTAACTTTGAATATCCGTCCTTGTCAAGTTCTCTTCCTAACATCGCAGCTTCGTCAGCGAATCCTGGCTGTAAGATGCGCGTGACAAAGCGGGCACGAAGGAAGAACCATTTGTTGAAACGATCAAATACTGCTAGGTAGTCTACTTCTTGCTTGACGAATTGAACGCTCGCAAAATGACCTTATTTATCGTCAGGATCAACGGTCGTAACTGAGCCTGAGGAAAGTTACAGCTACCAGTACATCTGCTTTTGTTGGACCGCGTGCTGTGCCTCCTTTCCCATTATATAAATGTCGTCCTATTGATCATCAGGAACACTCAACTCTGAATCCACTCTAAGAAACCTCTCTGCGATCATGTCCGAAGATCTCCTTGCAAGAATTGAAGTCTACGAGAAGACCTTGGCTCAGGAGGGACTACCAAAAGATCCTCTGGTCCGCAAACGTCTCCAGCAATCTGCACAGAGGCTGTCACGCTCCCTCGAGGATAATTTTGATCTGACACATCGCCTATTGTGTTCTGTCCCTGTGGAACTTGCAGTTACTCGCATTGGAATCAACATGGGGATCTACCGGATGCTGGCTTCGAGCGGATCTCCTGTACCGTTTGAGAAACTCCAGAAATCGACTGGAGCCGACCCAAGCCTTCTCTCCCCCATTCTCAACGCACTAATTGCATTCAAGTCTGTCGTCGACAAGCCTCAATCAGAAGGTCTAGCATACTCGCTCCCAGACAGCGCAAGGTATCTGGCCGACCCGATATTCTCCAAGGCATATCTCGAGTGCATGGACTTCATGGTTCCGTCTTTCACAGCATTGCCTCAGAAGCTTGCTGCAGAGCAGTACAAGTCACCGCAGACTGATCCACAACACGCTGCTCTCCAGGTGGCACATCAGCAAGAAGGGACAACGATCTTTGATTTTCTTGTCGCCAACCCTGACGTTGCGTCTTCATTCTCTCAACTCATGACCACATGGGGCCTTCATGACCCTCAACTTCACGAGATATATCCCATCGATCGTTTACAGAGTGGCTTTGAGTCTTCGAACTCCGATGTGATATTGGTCGATGTTGGTGGGAACTGAGGTGAGAAAAGTATCGCCGTTAAAGAAGCGAACCCGGACCTTCCAGGCCGTATCATAGTCCAAGACTTGCTGCAAATCATTGCCAATGCACCACCAAGCAACTTAGTTGAGCATCAAGTCCACGACTTCTTTACAGAACAGCCTGTCAAAGGTACGCTAAGTTCCTAACCTTGCAAAAGTCATTGCTTAACAATCTGCAGGTGCAAGGGCTTACTATCTTCGCCGGGTGCTTCACGACTGGAACGACGAAGAAGCAGTGAAGACTCTCACGAATTTGAATGATGCTATGACTCCAGAATACTCGAAAGTTCTCGTGCATGATCATGTACTACCGGACTCGGGGCAAGAGATAGTGCCCGTTGCTCAGGACATCACGATGATGACGCTTTGTGCAACGAGAGAGCGAACGAACGGGAGTGGGAGGCCCTGCTTTCTAGAGCTAGGCTGAAGATGGTACAAGTCTTTGAAAGTGAGGACCCCGCTGACTTGAGGGTCATTGAGGCGGTCAGGAGTTCATAATTCTATTCAGCCTGGTTGATTGTGCATAGCCTCCTGGAGCCGAAATCGTTCATAGTAAACGGAGTCGTGGCTTTTCTACCCGTTCTTCTTAGTATACTCGAACAGAGAAGCGCTGCCCGCAGAGTCGAGAACTATGTTCGAAGGGATGCTTGAGTGGCGGAAGAAAGTGGTCGACAAAGTGGTCGGAATGAAGGTGGGCATGAATATGAGGTCGCAAAGATGCGTCGGACGGAAAGCCATTCGTTGATGCAATAGCCACGAGAAGCTTAATAGCTATCATATATGCAGTATCAAGTCTACTCTGTTCCATCGGTGTCTTGTTTTGTGCCAAGTGAAGTTGATAGTTCAAGTGCCAGCTGCTCACGTTAAGTCCGACACGCGTGTGGGAGGCCATAGCGCGATCTCGCACATACCTTCAGCGAATTCCCAAACGGGCCATTCTCGCAGTCAGCTGAAGACCATAGGGATGTTACGAACTGCGGACAGGCGGCCGTATCATTTCTATCTCTTGCACGGCACTGCGGAGATAGCGGTGTTAAGTGTGTTCACCCTTCGGCTAGTCGATTCAGCTTTAGATATATCGAGCCGTAACTGAATGGCAGCTCTGCAAACATCGTAACGCCTTTCTTCATTGCTGTTTGACTCGTTCAGCAGAATGCCTTTCATCACCAGCAAAGTCGACGGCGCTCGACTATTCTACAGGGACTACAGCCCTTCGAAGAAAGGACCTGCGTTCAAGCCAGCGGAAGATCGCGATGCATCTGGAAAGCCGACTCTTGTATTCGCGGCGGCGTGGCCGTTCTCATCGAAGATGTATGACCACATAATGCTGCCCCTTTGCGAGTCTCATGGCTTCCGCTGCCTCGCCATTGACCGGCGAGGCTACGGAGGAAGCCACTGGGCTGGCCCTTCCAAGCCCGACCAAGATATCGACTACGATACCTTTGCTGACGATCTTGCCCATGTGCTGGATGTCACGGGTGTCTCGAAAGAAGACGGATTTGTTGGCATTGGGGCTAGCCTTGGCTGTGGCGAGTTTCTCCTTGCTTTGCATAGGCACCCTGAAGTTCAATCTGGATGTCGAGGCCTCGTTTTCCTCGGAAATTCACTACCTATCCCTTTGCAGACGTCTCGAAAGTCGACTGGACCGCCTCGATCTTTCTGGGACTCATTGCTGGAGCGCCTCCGGAACGATCGGTATGAGGCCCTGGCGAATTCATTGCCCTACATCTTCGGCGAAGAAGGATCAAAGATGCTTAGCTCCTTTGAGGTTCGGCGATACGAGGACATTGCGATGAGCGCGGATCCGTTTGCCCTCGAGCGCACAGTTCAGATCTTCTTGGACAGGGATTTCACGGATCTCACTGAAGAAAGACGATTCAAGTTCCCACTTCTTATCTTGCACGGCGATGCTGATGCTGCAAACCCGGTCGAGAGTGGACCTGGCTTCATTCGGGCAAATTGGCCCAATGCCAAGGTCAATGTCTACGAAGGAGCTGCTCATGGTGAGTTGCGTCTACTGTTTCAACGGTTCAATGGTAACAATCATTCAGCTATCGCTGCGACACATAAAGAAAGGTGCTTGGAGGATGTGATCACGTTTCTGAATTCATGCTAGACCCCTTAGGCTTTCTTACACTTAGTACCTGATTCCCAATCCGTCCCTTTTGGCCTTCTCCTGCAAAGTCCGTTGCTCTGGCGGCCCACTCTTTGCTGTCGCGCTGGAACTCACTGTCTTTCACTGCCTCCTTCGACCATCCCTATCCGAGTCTACTTCTTTCCCGCCCTCTTCGCATTCCGCGCCAACCTCAGTGCCTGCCTCGTCGGGTAGAGCGCAGAGCAGCGTTCCAAGACCTCCTCGTCACGCGTGATGTAGCCAGTCGGGAAAGCTGGCGGCTGAGCATCGGTGACCTGTATGATCCAGTCCCAATGAGAAGTGTCAAGGTCAAGCTGCGGATTGTCTCGCGCGAACTCCAGGCATTGAGTGAGGACCATGCGGTCATCACCCTGTGGCCACTTGCTCTCGTCAACGGCACTGTAAATGTCTGCAAGCTTCCAATGGCCCCAAGCGCGCCCTGGCTTCTTGTCTGAATATTCGTGACGAAGTTTGAAGTGGTTGGCTGTGAGGTTGTGATGTGGTCCCTCACTCTGCGCGACCCGCTGCCACATGGTCCGTTCGGCCTTCTTGTCTGGCCATTCACACCCACCGCCATCCTTGAACTGCCACTTGATCTTATCCTCCACGGTCCGCGCGCTCTTGTCTGTGAGCTCATTGACTGGGTCCAGCTGCATTTTCGCGAGAGTCTGGTAGGAGAACCCATTCCGCACGAGGCGAATTGCCAGCAAGGGAATCTGCACGGAGTTGGGAAAGAAGGTCATGAGCTCGACGAGGCCTAGCTCAACGTCCAGTGGTAGACAGACATTCGGTGGTGGACGCTCTAGTGTGTGCTGCCCATACGCGGAGGTGCTGGCGCGTCGACTGTAGAGGCCCTGGGGCAAGGCAAACTGGTCGTCTGATGCTGAAGGTGGAGGGACAGCGCGAGTCAATGCTGCTGCTTGAGGCGCGTGCTTTGGAGTGGTGGAGGTAATGCGGTTGTTTGAGCCGGTCGTGGGCATTCGCAATGTCTTTCTCACTTTGGAGGCTCCTCCGAGGCTGGTTGATGCCTTGCGCTTTTGCGATGCGTGATCACGACCGGTCTGTTGCGATGTGTAGTCGTAGTTGGCGAGTGATGGTTGATCTTGATTGTCGTATGGTGCCAGGTCTTCGTCGAGAGCGCGCGAGCCGAATAGTTGAAGCTGTGCATTGTACTGGTGTCGAGAGCGGCCACGGGGTAGTAGCTCCACACTTGGCGTGTGGCCCATTGGCAAAACTTCTTCTGGAATCCTCAGGCCTGCGTGTGAAGTCAGCATTGCGCAAGAGCGTGAAGGGGGATTGGGATTACTTACTTGGGTCGAGGACTCGCAGCGCTTCAGTTGACACGCGCGTCAGGGCTGGTGTAGGAGGTGATATGACGCTTGGATGCGTGGTAAGTTCAGTGGTGGTTTTGGGTTGAGCGAGCAAAGACTGTAAGTCTTCGAGATCGCTGCCGAAGAGGTTACGGAGTGCTTCGTCGGCGTCGGCGTCGAATGAAGGGGTGTCAACCTCAGGGAATATGAGTGTTGTATCGTCCAACAGGTCTTGAGTGGCCATGGCCTGTTGCAACTCTGGGTCGAGTTGGTCCCAGCCGTGGTAGTGGTCGGCGATGCCGTTGTTGAATGACTCCATGTTTGGCGTCGCGATGACCATGAGTGAGTGCTCTGCTCGAACTGGGAGAGGTCGCAGTCTGGAAGTTTACTTAAAGGTCGCGGCCACGACTTCTGCCGACACGTAACGACGGCAACGGTAACACGCTCTAAGCGAGGTCTCCACAATTCACGTGATGTGACGTTGGGGAGTGAATGTGAATCCAGCTGGGTGAGCGTTTCACAGTCTAGAGAGGAGCCACAACATTGATCTTCCCAGGCGCTGAGTCTCGCGCTAGTACATATTGGCCATGGCAATGAGTGGACGCCGAAGCTCGTATCATTATAAAGTCGTCTTGGAGGTTTATACTGCTGCAGTCCGCGCCGCAGCGCTATATCCTTGCAAGATTTCATTGCATGGCGTTCTGCTCGCACTGCTTCCAAGACGCGTCTTGTCCCTGCTCTTCACCCTCTTGCCGACAATAAGATGTTCCCGTTAGACAAAAGGTGATGTCGGGATGCCGCATGTCTGGTAAGAGCCGCCTTGAGGACGGAGGAAGACGACCATCCTTATACATTTCCAACGGAGCAACCGTGAAGAATTTAGTCATACCGATAGCACCTCTGGCCATGTTTGTCCGCTCTTGTAATGCGACACTTAGTAGAAGCGTGTTTCTACGTAGCAATCGTTCAGACACACGAATTGGCAATATGAGAAGCGCCATGGCTGAAGAGTGTACGATGGGCCGTTGCGGGAGTGTCGGGTCTATGCATTGAACGGATGGGAAAACACCTTCGAGTGCACAAAGGACTGTCTATTTTTCTTTGTTTTAGAACTAAGACTATTCGATCACCGCAACAGGCAGTACTTTCCTCTTTGTTCCCGGCTTTCAAAGAAGCGTCCTGCGACATATACGGAGAAGCATGCAATGTCATACTACGCACAGATGTTTCAGACCGGAAAAAATTATTTACCGTCCAATCCTCAGGCATATAGAAACCAGGAAATCGCTGCATTATTTGTGTGCTATGGGAGTAGTACGTAGTTTTCTCCATCTTCAAGGTTATGGCGAATCGTGAGTCAACTTCCTTCCCAAGTTCTGTATAAAATCATTTATCGTTTCATCATCTGTACGCTGAGCTGTCCACCCAATGAAAAGGGCGCCATGTGATTTGTGGGTCTTTCAACTTCCACACGCTTGAAGCGAAAGAATTTCGCCAGCACTTCTTCCAGACACACCCAAACACCCGCGAGACCTCCCGATCATCACCACCTCTTTCCTCACCTCACATCAGATCTCAACAACATGACCGACCCACAGCACGTCGCAAAGGAGCAGGAGGCTCAGGAAGCACGCTTCGAGGACTTCATCAAGAATCCTCGAGCATACGCCAATCCTCCGGCACCTCCTCCCGCTCCTCCAGCAACTCGTCGCATTGAGTTCATCGGTCGCGATGGCCAGGATGGTACTGAGGTCAGTCGTCGAATCAAGTCTATATAGGATAGTATACTGACTTCACAATAGCTGGACTTGAGAGCGAGACTCGGGCCTCTTCGAGGATACTATCCTGGTGGAAATGACGCGGAGGAAGCTGTCCCGATGCAGGACCTGCCGGACTCTTTCTTGTCGGGTATGTCTCCTATCTTCCATATTGGCAGCCGTGAAATAACTCTTGCTTAGAGGAGCAGCGCGCTGCCAGAGAGGCCATTCCCGCCCCACCGCCCCAGCAGCCAGCCATGAGGCCCCAACCCACGCCTCTCCTCTACACCTACATCAGCGCCGCCTCCCTCCGGCCGCCACCTTCCACGCAACCGATGGCCAACATGCCCCTCTACGCCATCATGCACGACCCGGGATCAGACATCCGGAACCGCCCTCCCGCCAACGTGCAGCCGCCCATCAACATGGAGCTCGGCCTGGTGGAAATCTGCACCTTCATGCCCGACTGGCTCCTCGTCCCCGAGCTCCTCGTCCGCCTGATGCGCAACGGCGCCGACGCAACCATGCTGGCTAAGATCGAGCTGAGCGCGACTAACCAGCTCAGCTCCACCAACCTCAACCGGCGACGTCACAGCATCGCGGAGCGCATGGGCAAGCATGGCAAAGGGAGGTTCGACATCCCATGTAACCAGGTCTGGGACTTCGCCTACGCCCAGAATGCCGGCCCAGAGAACGATCTCACGGTCAGCAGCTGGACGAACCCGACGGGTGAAGCTTGGGGCTCGTGGAAGCTGGTGAGCATGTACAGCCAGGTGCCAAGGGAGAACTGGCCAAAGGGCGAGGATCGGATGCTGTTCACGCAGTGTATGGAGTTTGCGGCTGCCTTTCCAGCAAAGGATCTAGACACCTCGCATATCCCGTGGATTGTGCAGACCCTGCGCCTGCAGCAACCAGCAGCGCCTGTCCAGCGCAATCGGGATCAGGCGGCAGTGGCGAGGTTCAGTATCCCGGATCCAAGCGAGTAGAGGTTGTTGGGAAGAATGGTCGAGGAGGCTCTAGGAAAAGAGAGAAGCTAGTGGGTGAGGATACAGAGGATTGGGAATTGGGAAACTCAAGTGCTCAGCAGCATGATGGTGTCGCGACTTGTTATGCAAAGCTTATTCAAGCGGTTCAGTTAGCGTTGCTTCACGGGACTGTGCTATTACACCATGGTAAAGAATGCATGTTCATCATCCCGAAAACAGCCTTCCTGTCAAGTCATTTTGCAGACTGCACTTCTCTCTCCTTTCCCCTTCCCTCTTAGATTGGTACTTCAATACCTCATAACCATACTCATTGCGTGAGTAGAAGCCGTCCTTGTGTACCATATCGAGAAGGTCTATCAGCTACTGGGCTTCAATCGACGTGAGGTCATCTTCGTACTGGATAAGATGTTGCGAAATACGAGCCAAGAAGACCTCGATGGCACTTAGGTGTTTCAACCTAGATAGGAAATGCGACAACGGATACAGCTTCATCTAAAACAAAGAATATAAGTTGAAGACAAAGGCTAACGTCCATCCCGACGTTACGAGCCACCCTCCGTAGCGAGCCAAACGCAAGGTACTTTAAACTGATAAGACTATCGAGCTCTTACTAATACGTTTTTGCGCTTCATTTTGTGTGTTCTCGCTAGATTAGGTACTCCTTCGCCTCTCTAAGTCCTTCCGATAATATAGAGTAGTGTTATAGCGACGTCGTCGCTCGCTTTTAAGGAGGCCTGTCTTAGGCTTAACTTGTCGACGACTACACTAGAGCCGGAATGTAGGATATTCGAACTGCTTATATATATTAAGAGGCAGTTTGTAGCGCTAGCAGCCTTACTATTACGTTCAAACCTTATTCTTAGCTTAGTAGCGGCCGTATGTCGATTATAGAGGCAAGATCGCCGCGCCGATAGGTACCTGTTAATAAAGCGAAGACGCTTCGGGCTAGCGCTTAGCTATAATATTATTAATCGTGCTGTAGTTAATAAATATTAGCTAAGCTAATTCTAGCCCTAAATCACCCGGTCGATTTGCTTTATACTACCGGTATTATTCTAAGAGCTTTGTTACGTAGATAGCTCGTTTTAATTCCTTAATACTTTACTATATTTTGTAACGTACTAAAGAAGACTAAAATATTAGAGACTCGAATAGCTAAGTCTAGAGCGAATCGACTATAGGTTTATAGCCTACGGTAAGTTAGGTTAGAAATACTTTATAAAAGCTATCGGACTCTATTTCGGCTTCTAACTACTATATATGTACTACCGGTACTCGGAATAGCTCTAGTATATATCTATACTTTTCCTCCTACGATATTAACTATCTAGGGTTTACTACCTACTCCTCGCTCGTCCGTACTACCTTAGCTATCGGTTCTAATACGTCGATATTCGTTACCGTATTTTTCCGCTTACGACCGCGCTTACTCTTACTCTCTACACCCCCTATTTCTATTAATATACCCGCGGCCTTTTTAGCCTCTTTCTCGGCTTTTTTAGCTACTTTCTCTACCTCCTTTATTATACGCTCTATACGTAGCTTCTTAAGATCTTTAAAACTCGTTACCTTTACTAATCCTAACTTCTCTAACTTAGCTGTTCGACGGGCTTTTACT